AATTACTATCCTATCTGTACAAAGATATTAGTTCTGAAAGAATAACACAAATAAAGGGCAATATTGCAGGCTTCTAATGTTGTGTTCAGAAGAATTCACCTTAGCTCGTAGTCATTTCAGCCCATGTATGAATCTGTACAATAGAGAGATAAATAGGTGGGAGAATATGTTTTTCTTCAAGGGGAAGGGTTCCAAAACAAACAAGTAAAGAGATTCCCACGGAAGTATATTTTGACTTGACAGTATTATTTCCCAAAGGGATGTGTCCCTCTCTGCCAGTGGCCTTTTGCAAGGATAGTCACGCAAGGGTGAAGATGAGTAACTAAAAAACAAGAGTCATATTTACTAAAATAAGATCAAGGCCTAGGGTTTTGTAGAAATATCCCAGTACACTCTAATCCCAGTAGAATGCCTGAAGAAATACACACTTTTACAAGTTTTCTCTGAAAATCTGCTTAATCTTGCCAGATTTGCTTCCTTTCCTTTAGGACTCCAACTAATTCTTTCTTATAATAAACTATTATGCTATTATTATAGGATTTCTCTATTTCATACCAGTCTAGATGTAATCCAATACAACTAGTCCATTCATGTGGCCATATGTATACTGTGATAATGCCCTGTCAAAGGTTTGGTAAGTGTCCAAAAAGGTGTGTGTGTGTGTGTGTGTGTGTGTGTGTGTGTGTGTGTGTGTGTCAGAGAGAGAGAGAAAGTCATTCCATCATTGATAGAAATGCCTTTACATTAAATAACAGTTTGTAACTAAATAACTAAATAAAAGACAAAAGCTGCGTCTTTGAGAGCTGTATTACTAGCAAACATTCAAACACATATTGATGGTTAAATCCTATGTTCTTAATCCATGATTTTAGGCTTACTCAAACCATATCCCCAAATTATTGAATTTGATCGTATGATCTGGCCTTATATGGGAGATATAAAATGAACCTCATTATTTTGTCCTGTGCATCATTGAATTAAATTTTATGGATTGAAAAAATATATTGTAGTTTTAAACATGCAGAGCTGAAGAATGCCACTTTCTAAGAATGATTTAAGTGTTAGAGGTAAACAAACTAATTAAACATACTTTCTTTCAAATATAGTTTAAAAAGCTGATGCTGTTGCAGATATAAATCTTTCCTATGCAGGTTACTTGAGTGATGGTCTCACTCCACTGGGATTGGCCTGTCCCACTTGTGCTAGTAGACTTGTGCTGTGGGTCCTGTCAGCCCAATTATTCCAGCTGGTGGAGTCCAGGAGGAGACCCTTCTCTGCTGTGGCTGCTGTCCTCTGGAACATCTCCCCCCCACCCCACGTGAGGTTGCCCCCCAACCCTCCTATCCTTTCATAAGGGCCTAAAATGTAACTCTGCCAGTTGGTTTGGGGCCCTAATGGGGAAACAACACAGTAAGGTGGTTGATCAAATAATAACAGATCCCACCTCCTCCCACACCACCCTCATCCTCCCCACATGTTTGATTTTAGTTTAGTTATATTTTAATGTATACGTATAGACATATTTTAATGACTGTAAGCCTCCCAGAGTTACCTTATGGTAAAATAGGTGCCTAATAAATGTTATAAATAATGTATAAATAATCCTAGAAGTATGACAAGAACTCCAAAGGCATTTAGAATCACATCTTAGTTTCCACAAATTTAGAAAACGTTTGTCCTACTGTTGTTTGTTTCAATGCATATCAAACTTTATTGGAAGGCAGAGAATGAAGAAATGTAAGTTATATTTTCCAACCCAAACCAATAAGTGATTGGTTTGATAACATACTGTTCAACAGTGTAAATTTTCACAGATGAAAGATGCTGATGGACATTCTGCATCCTTTAAGCAGCACATTTGCATCGCGTTGCATACAGGAATAGGGCAGACAATTTTAAACAAAAAGATTCATCTGTATTTAGAATCTTGTAGTAACACTTTCCTATGTTTAAGGGAAACTGTGTTCAAAAGGACCAAAGACTATTCATGTCATTGTTTTTAAAGATTATAGGAATTCCAAGTCTCTGAAAAAGAAATATTGATGTTACTATTGTAGCTTCTCTTTATTGATGGGAACCTTTTAGCAAATATTCTAAATTAAATGCTGGGCTCAAAAATGCAATTAGGTTGTGACTAGAAATCAGTAGTACAGTATAGGTGTTAAATAAAACATCTAGAATAATATTTGAGATATAAATCAAATAGTGCTAGCATAATTAAAATAGAAAAATGTATGTATTTCAGTGGGAGTGACTCTAATTTACCTGACATGGGAATAATTATCATGCCAGACCTCCCATATACTAAGCTAAGGGAAAAGTAAGTAGTAAAGGTGTTTTCATTTTATATTGGGTGAAAGTTATATGAAGCTTTGATTATTCAGTGTGATACATCTGTTTCAGAAAAAAAGTATATTTGGAACACAGTATGTTTGCTGACCTGTTATATCTGCTAGCTAAATTAAAACTTCAATCAATCAATAATCAATTATCTATTTTGGTCTAGCTGACTATAAGCATCAAGGCTTTCAAATGCATTAACAGGTTGTTGGTGTAGTTCAGAGATTTCCTCTACATTAATTCAAATAATTTGTTCTTGATCAGACAAAATCAAGCCTTCAGTTTCTTTTCTTGAATGTTTCAGTTGTCAACCATTGCCAGGTGTTATCTTAATTCACTTTCCCCTTAATCTTTTGTACAAATTGAGCATGTAATATTTTTCCTTGCCAGAATTCTCTCTGTGTTTTCATAATGTTATTTTGATATTCATGTTTTGTTTCCTGCACATTCAATGAGTTCCAGTTTGTAACTTGCATCAAAGCTCATTCTTGCCTGGTTTTTTTATGTAATGAATGTAGTGCATGCTTTTCTTCTTCAGAAGTGTATTTAACTTGAAGTAAACCTTGCCTCCATGTTTGCAGACAGGTGTAATATGTCAATATCACTACGGGGATTTAATATATAATGAATAGTCATCAGTTTTCTTGTTCTTAAGTCCAAACTGTCTAGTTCAGCTTGCAACTAGTTAATTCTAGCAGTGTATCATATCACAAGTATAGCCTAGGCATTGGTAACTACAGTACATGTTGGTATTGGTAGCTTGACTTGGTGCCAGTTTTTTGTTTTTAATGCTTATGATTTAAATAGTTTTAATATGGTTTTTATGTTGTTTTAATTCTTGATTGGGGGCCCCCCAGAGTTTGGTATAAAATGGGGAGCTATAGAATTATTTTTAATTAATTAAAAGCTTTGAAGGTGTTTCCACCATTTAATTTTGTCTTTAGCAATGTTCTTGCTCTTTGGATGTATACTTTACTAATCACAGTTTTAACTTTTCCATGCTTGATGTTATCCAACTGTAAATGGCCAAGATACTTGTAGGCTCCATCCTGATGGCTCCTAACGATTTAGCCATTCAGTATTTAAATTGTACTACCATTCATGCTTTTACCTCTATTTATTGCTAGTGCACATTTTTCTAGGCCAAATATCACTGTGGTAAAAATTCTTATAATGTTTAATAACTGTATTTCAATTTCTGATTTTCCATAAAGCTTCAGATCATCTATATAAAGCAAATGTGAGATTTTATTAGTATTTTTTGCAATTTGATGACCAATATTTGTTTTCTACAAAAGTGGGGTCATAGCAGTGATAAATAATTAGGGTGTAGTTAACTACAATTTGTATGAGTTAATTTTAAATAAATAGTTTATTTCAAGGCATTTTGATATACCAGCTGTACAATGTAAGCCCTACTGTATTCTCTAAGCCCTACTGTAATGTAAGCCCTACTGTATTCTCTAAGACCTAATCCCAGGAAAAATTTAGAACATTAGAGTTCAGTACTGTAATCCTATAATAACATCTTGACTCTAAGTCTGAATCTATAAGATTGAATTGAGTCATTGAGTTAAGTCATTGAATTCAATGAGACTGTCTTCCATATAAGCATGAATAAGACACTACTCAGCAAGACACTAGTCAGCAATATGTGACATCAAAAACATAAGCAAATGTCCAGTGATGTTCACAGGAAAATAAAATGGCATATGTGGCAAAAGAATTTCTTGCAATTGTGTGTCACTGAAACCTTATTGTTGACCTTAATATTGGATAAAAGTAAAAGCTCGTTTCAAGGAAAGCATATATTAAATTGATTAAATTCTCCTCCATGAAGTAAGCTAATACCGTACGTGTTTTTGAAGCTCTGCCATATTGGGATTGGCAGCTACTTATGTCTCTTGAGTAATGTATTTCTTGTAAGCAGATGTTCAGGGCAGCAGTATGAAAACAAGCTTTTATGCTTGTGTAAACTACCACAGCAATAATGGCAATCAAATCAAAGACAGAGAACAGATCTTAGCTCTGTAACTTGTCTTCTTGGAAGGGTTAACTTGCCCAGACTTTGGAAAATTGTCTTAAAAACAAAAATCTGTAGGATTGTCAAAGTGGATTGCCCAGGAAATCCACTGGCACTAATACTTTGAATGATAAGAGGGTCTGGTGTATCTGAAATAATTAATATTAAAACAATGATCTTGTCAATTAGACAAGGAATTTGAAGATGTTAATTAATTTGAGCATAAATAAAGTAAAATTTCAATTACAGTGAGTGGGACTCTGAAAAGAGTAAATGAGTAATAAATTGTAGCCAAATGTTTCTGGTGAATTGTCAGATTGCAATGTTCAAATGATAGGTTAGTAATTTTTTTATAGTAGCACTATTTCATTTGAAAAGAGTACCATTTAATATTAGTGTTGATTTCGAAAGCTTTATTTAAGGCATATTATTTAAACTGGGTTTTGTTTACTTCTGCCAAAATGCTTTAACCTGGTCTATATATCTTTCATCAGCCTTCTTTTATTTGCTCCATAATCATTATGTTCTCCTTTTAAAGAAGAAAAGCTTGCAAGGCAATATAAATGAAATTGAACAAATGGTGCTTTGTGTTTATTTGGTTTAAAGGTTTATTTTTCTGTCTGTCTTTTTTTTAAAGACAAAAATACATGGTCTTGGATTTGTAAAAATTCATGCTCCTTGGAATGTTTTGTGCCGCGAAGCAGAGTTTATGAAACTGAAGATGCCCACAAAAAAGGTTAGTTTTAGTATTCTTTAACATCAGGAGGTCTAAACATTTAAATGACATGACATTAACTTCTTTTCATAGTCTCCTCATAAATTAAAATAGTCTGCCTGTAAGAGAAGCAGGATATTTAACTAAACCTCTTGGTACAGTTTGTGACACAATTTATAGAGCAATGTATGAATTGTAATGCTGCAAGATATAAATGTTTATGCATGTTCATTGCACTGCATTGCAGAAATGTGTTCCTTAAAAGATACGTAGACATAGTTGGTGCCATTTTGTAGTTAATCTTATAAATATTTATTGCATGTCTTTCCAAAAATCATGCATAAAACAGGCTGCCTGTGTTTGCTTTTGATTCCGCTGCAGGTTTTTTTCTATTGCCATCAGCCACTCCTCTCATCCCATCCTAAAATTCTAATTCCACTGATATTAACAATGTGCAACCTGATGCTCTTCAGTCAGAATTAGAATTCTCTCTGACTTTAGCCATATTGGATATGATTTATAGAATAATCGTCCAAAATATTTGGAAAGTACAAGGTAACCAAGGGTCTCCCACAATTAAGTGAGTGTTAGTTATCTTTTTCTGATTTCACACCACAGATAAAGCCATTATTGTCTTCAATGTGCATGCGTGATGAGGTTTAAATGTTAGATTTTATGTCAGATGCTCAGCAATTGGAATGGCAATTCAACATGCATTACATAAATAAACAGCACTGCTCGAGAAAAATCTCAAGAAAAAGAATTACTACAGTACATGCTAAATATAGTAGATTTTTAAAAAGAAAATATGACTACTAAAGCAAACAAGGCCATTAGCTATTCTACAGACATAAATCTGTGTATGCCTTAACTTTGCTAAATTTCATCTTTTCTAGTCATAGTTTATGAGGCTACAGTTCTAGAGGATCCTTTGAGAGGATGGGATGGATCATCATAATAAGAATAAATTTACTGAAATTATGACTAACATCATTACTTAAGTCCCATTGATTTCAGTGAATTTACTTAACACCCTAGTTCAAATCTAATAGGTTTTGAGTTTAGTATAATGTGTAAATCTATTTATTACAGCAATGATGGTGAACCTTTTTGGCACCAAGTGCTGAAAAGGTCGCGTGGAAACATCACATGCACGCACGCTCATTGGGAGCATGCTCCAGAAAAGCCAAGCTTCCGGGTTCTAGCGCGCATGCATGCCCAACGATCAGCTGGCTGGCATGCATGTGCAGGGTGGTTTTCAGCACTGCCGCGTGCATGAAGGGATCGCGCTCTGGAAAAACTGGACTTCTGGGTTCTGGCATGCATGTGCACCTGACGATCAGCTGGCTGGCGTGCATGCGCACACCAGTTTTCTGCACTGCCGTGTATGCGAAGAACAGCTAATCGTCGCACGTGCATGGTTGCCAGAAATCTGGAAGACAAACAGGCAAGTCTGTATGTGCCGGGCGACATGGGTTCGCTTACCGTGCCATAGGTTCACCATCACAGTATTATAGCTTTGTGTTACTTTAAATTTGGAAATATAATTAAAATAAATAACATGATAAATAGAACTTGAACAGATACTGTTACAAAATTCAAGTCTAATGTTTAATTTTAGTTTTACTTAAAATAATTACTTTGTACTCTAAAGCTGTCTCTTCTTCCACTAGAGACATTTCCCTGCGGAGTCTGGGTTACATCTGAGTCTGACCAGTAGGCACAACAAACTGTTGTTTAAAACATTCTAGTCTGTGTCTCTACCATGGAAATTTTAATGTATGTCTATATAAATAAGATTATTTCTGTGTTTTCGGTTAAATACTTCTCTCATTAAAAAATAAGTTTGAAAAGTCAAATTATTTTAATGACAATATTATGTTGAAATTATGATTCTATATATAGACATGGATATGTGAATTACAAGCATAAAAGAACTAGTAGAATCTAGTTTTAATTTCCAATGAATATTTGAAGTACAATTCTAAAAGCCCATTGTCACCATAGAATATTATGTGATTGAATACTATGCTTTTGAAAGATGTGTCTGTACCTGTTCAGGGTGCAAAATTGAGAAATGGATCAATATTTAATGACATACTAAGTGCAGAACCCAGACTCTGAAGGGAAATGTCTCTAATGGAAGAACAGACAGCCTTAGAGTATAAAGCAATTTATTTTAAGTAAAACTAAAATTAAACATTAGGCTTGAATTTTGTAACAGTATCTGATCAAGTTCTATTTATCATGTTATTTATTTTAATTAAATTTCTAAGTTTAAAGTAATCCATCCATCATTTTTAGAAAATCTGAATTAAGGAGATCAGAAGGAATTGAGCCTCCTTGGCCAGAAAAATATGAAGTAATATGATCCAAATCAGCAAGGATAAGGTGCTGGAAACAGAATTTTGTATAATGTAATGGGGTATTATAAACAAAAATTTGCTTTTGTTTTTTTGCTTGCAGAAAGTTTATGTAATATAAAAATTATCCAATTCCTATTGTTGGAAGCCATTCTGTCATAATTAGAACCATAATTGCATAAGATTCATATTCCTATAGTCCTATCTTTACATGACCTTTCATTTCAACATTTGGACATCACCACCCATAATGATTTATGGGTAAATACTTTGGCCATCTAATACTTTGGCCACCTAATGAAAAGGAAGGACTCACTGGAGAAGAGCCTAATGCTGGGAATGATTGAGGGCAAAAGAAGAACGGGACGACAGAGAATGAGGTGGCTGGATGGAGTCACTGAAGCAGTCGGTGTGAGCTTAAATGGACTCCGGCGGATGGTAGAGGACAGGAAGGCCTAGAGCAGTGTTACTCAGTGTTACCCCAGCACTGGCTGGGGGATTCTGGGAGTTGAAGTCCACCCATCTTCAAGCTACCAAGGTTGTGAAACACTGGCCTAGAGAAACGTCGTCCATGGGGTCATGATGGGTCGGACACGACTTTGTGACTAACAACAACAACCCATAATGATTTTCTAATTTTAACTGTCCTGATTAAAAGTTTTACTTTTTTTAAAGCCGTGGTACATTCTACAAATGATTTAAATGAAGTAGGATTTTTTTTTAAAAAAAAAGTCTTTTCAATCCTTAGGTGTATCAAATTCATCAACCTCATGGCCTTTTGAAAAAGATCAATTCTGTAATCCAAAAAATAACAGAACCCATTCAACCTAAAGTGGCAGAACATAAGCATCAGACAGTGAAACGACTTTCCTATCCTTTCTCAAGGGAGAAGCAACACTTGTAAGTTAAAGTTCATTGGTTTTAGTTCATGTCATTTACAACAGAATTGGCCCCTGGGAATAGCACTAGGCTCAAATATGTGAATATTAATAGAAATGTGTAGGGTTGTGCCTGAATACAATTTGCACTAAATTTATCATTTTTTCCAAATAAACAGGATCTTGTCTAGCTCATGGAAGATTTTTGTCATGATGAATTTCCTTAATGACTTACGAAATAATCCTATACCCATCTGCAAGTTAAATCCCACTGAGTTCAAGCCATGCCCCCAAGTAAAGAGATACAGGATTCCAGTTTCAGGCTGTAGTTCTGCCCTGACTGATCGGGAAATAAGCCAGCTGAATCCAATCAGGCTTACTTCTAAAGACATACAAGTAGCTTGATACACATATAGTTGGATTCCCAAAGCTAAGACTAATAAAAGAATGGTAGATATCTTATTTGGCTGCTTTTTCTCTTTCTTTATTAAAAACCCATTGGTGTGTATGCCACACTTTCCCAAAAGTGGTTCAAGAGAGAAAGCATCCAAGCGGCATCACATTCTACGGCCAAGTCTATCTTGTAATCTCTTTACCACAAGCAGAATACAATATAAACCATGAGAAAAGCAACCTATTAAAAGTTCATAAAAGTTGTAATACAAGGAAAAACAGCACACAGACAATTAAAGTATATGAACTTCTACTGGGTGTCTACTGGGCTTCCTTGTGCAGATGTTAGGCATTGTAAGAATTGACTGCTGGACTAAATGGGCCAGGGATCTGATCCAGCAGGACATTTTTAATATTCTAATTCGGTCTCCATGTGACAGTATTCAATTTAGCAATCATTACAGGATATTTCTCAGTTGAATAAAGAATATGACTTTTAGTTACTAGGGATGTTGTTAGACCGTACCGCCTTATGATTCTACTGTACAATTCCTCTGTACAATTTCTTGAAAAGCAATGTTTTGATATGGTCTTCAGCAGAGAGCCCTTTCAGAATTGTAGGCTGAAGCAACAGGTCTATATATTATTATAGGTCTAGAAAGCAGCAATAGTTGAGATTGAACATTATAGTTGAGATTGAACATTATGAGCCGCAGTGGTGCAGTGGTTAGAGTGCAGTGCTGCAGGCTACTTCTGCTGATCACCGGCTGCCAGCAGTTTGGCAGATCGAATCTCACCAGGCTCAATGTTGACTTAGCCTTCCATTCTTCCGAGGTCGATAAAATGAAGACCAAAATTGTTGGGGCAATATGCTGACTCTGTAAACCGCTTAGAGAGGGCTGTAAAGCATTATGAAGCGGTATATAAGTCTAAGTGCTATTGCATCCTACATATAATGGGTTGGATATATGTTAATAGCTGAAACGTTTGAACTCAGAGGCTTCAAAAGAAGAGTAGCAACTTTCTGAAGACTTCGTTGAAATAAAGTTTTGACCAAACAATATGATTCTGTTGTATATTGCTTTACATTTATTCAGGGTTTTTTTTTAATTTTTTCTTTTCCTTCTCTACTATTATCACAGGTTTGACCTCTCTGATAAAGACTCCTTTTTTGATAGCAAAACTAGAAGTACCATAGTAAGTATGTATTTCTAAAATATTAGAGTAATATGGTATTCCTCTTTAGCTGTTTTCATGATTTCTATATAATTCATTATATAAAAAATCTACATCAGAAGTGAATAATCTGATTCATGCATCTTTCCATCTTATCTTAATTTTTAATGTGGTAGGAGAAGAAACTCATTAAATATGTGAGTGTAAAGTGTAAACTGTTTAATGTTAATTAAATGTAAATGAAATAAAATAAAATTGAGTTCTTGTTCCAGGCCACTATTCTTTTGAATTATGACTCTCAATTCAGAAAAAGTTCTGCATACCTACTAGTCAATCTAAAAAGATGTATTTTATTTTTTTAATCTTAAAAAAATAAAAAAAATAATCAATTCAAACATAAATGATAATACAAAAAAAAAAAATAACTAGAATGACCAAAATCCAAAATAAATATTTTTCTTAGAAACAAAAAAAAAAAATGAAGAAAAGATAGTGGTGAATAACTGATTTTTATTGCTCAGTCTTAAAACATTTTGTTAATATATAAATGTACAATATATCATTGGGAAATATTGCAAAACATGTTGATGTCATAAAGCAGGATACATATCTAGCACTAAAGTATGCCTGAATGCATTGCTGCTCTCGCAGGAAAGCTTTCTTTTCCACTTTTCCCATTGTAGGTGCCACCAAAGTCAGTTCTAGAGAATTGGGAAGACTTTGGGAATAGATTCTGAGGACATCTGAAGGAACTTCAAGATAGTAGGAAAGTGTCTACTAGTTCTACTAATACAAACTCCCACAGCTGAAAAATTTAATTAGTTTTCTTCACAAAATCCTGTAACATAAGTGTAAAAGGGTAAATGTAAAGGTTCCCCTTGCACATATATGGTAGTCGTTTCTGGCTCTAGGGGGCGGTGCTCATCTCTGTTTCAAAGCCGAAGAGCCAGTGCTGTCCGAAGACGTCTCCATGGTCATGTGGCCGGCATGACTGAACGTCAAAGGCGCATGGAACGCTGTTACCTTCCTATCAAAGGTGGTTCCTATTTTTCTACTTGCATTTTTTATGTGCTTTCAAACTGCTAGGTTGGCAGAAGCTGGGACAAGTAACGGGAGCTAACCATGTTACGCGACACTAGGGATTCAAACTGCTGAAATGCCGACCTTTCAATTGACAAGTTCAGCATCTTAGCCACTGAGCCACCGCATGCCTGATAACATAACATAACATTTTTGTTATCCCCTGATAACATAAGTGTAGGCTGCTCCAATTAAGAGCTCATGGTTCCCAACCGAATAGGAAGGTAAAGGAGAGTGGCCTTCCCTGCTTTCTCGTCTCTTAAAGTTTTATATAGAAATATTGTCAGTTAAATGTAATAGAGCTTTTTTGCATTTTGCCTAGTATGATGTCACAGTATGTTGCAGAAAAAATACATAGTTTAGTACACTGTACATACCATACTAAACAAATTCAACCTGAACTATATTCCTTTTCTCTAGGTAGAATTAGTGTGAAATATAAAGTAACAAATACTATCAAACACATCACTGTATAATTCATTCTTTAGTCAGAATACTGAATAAAGTTTTCACTCCCTGAAAAAGGGATAATTCAGTGGGATAATTTTCTATGCATAGCAAAGTAGTCCCAAATAGAATTTGTAATGTAATCATCAACAAACTGGAGAATGGCTCTGAAGGGATGCCAGATTTAGTAGCAGTGTGACTCTTTCTCAGCATTTGGGGTATCTTGCTTTGAAGTGGTATAGTTCATGTTTAACTGGAACATTTGCATTATGAAGAAGCTCCGATAACCAGAACTAACTACAAGTTGCTATGGATTAGTATTCAGCTTGTAGTAGATTCCTTTTGTCAGTTTTATAGCACCAAGGAGTCTGTATAAATTGCATGAGGAATGTTATTGCCTTTGTGTACTTCCTGCATCTTCCTCCATATACTAAACTGTCATCAGTAATCCTATACCAAATACCATAATAAATTCTGCTTCCAACTCCCACTTTTCTTATCTGAAGAGCCTTCAGATTCTTTAATTATTCTACTGCTGGTTTGTTTTGTCCCCTGTTATCCTCCCATTTATTTTGACTAAACAAGCCAGCTAATATTATTAACAAATGTATTTTATTAAAACCTATGTTTAAAAAGGGGTTTTTTTAGTTTAGCTATGAAGAGTTTAAATTGTTAATGAATGACAGTTCTACCGTATAGAATTTATGGGAATTGATTTTTCCATATATCCTTCCACGTTATTTCTACATGGATTTTATTTCATTTAACTCAGAAAACAGTCTTAGATACATCAAGGAGTAGCTTATAAATTTCAGGAAGAGAAGGAAAAGGAAAGAAATTGTGAATATGTTATTTTAATTTCTTAAGAAATAGGAAGTTGAGGATGGACAAAGTGTGGCCATTCAGATATTTTGAATTAAAATCACAGATTGTACAGGTTTACAGTCAATCTGCAATTGGCAATCATACTCAAAGCCCAGCTGGATAGTGTGTGTGTGTGTGTGTGTGTGTGTGTGTGTGTGTGTGTGTGTAAAAATTCTATAGACATCAGGTTTCTTTTGCTTCCTATAAAGCAGATGGATAGAAGATAAATAGAATGGATGGATGGATGGATGGATGGATAGATAGATAATTATGTATAAATTCATATTTACATACATAGCAAATGACCCAATAAGAATACACTTCCTCACTATCTAATGCCACATGTTAACATATATAAAGTTGTTTCTAATTATACAATTTCATACAAATGTTCCAAAAAATCTCTGTGAACTGCAGTCCTATCCATTGTTTTCTGAACTAATTGGGAATTGTTAAACATAAATTAGTTGGGTTATTCTGTCAGTATTGTTTTTGTCCAGAATGCTTCCCCTCTCCCCTGAAAAATAGAAAGGTGAGGAAAGGTGGCAAGTTTTTTTAATTAGTTTCCATGGCTTGGAAACACAGCTGTGTAAGAGCTAATTACTAGGTATGGCTACTATTGTTTTATTCACCACCATCCATTTAAAAAATAAGGCTTAATTAAGCAAAACAAAATAGAAAAAAGATATGACAGTTTCTAAAGGTGTGCTTAGCCCTGGAGATTATATATGCCACTTTGTGACTCATTAGGCTGGAAAAGTTTTGAAGTTTTACAATAATTTTAATCTTAATTTCAGAAGGGTTGCAATCATAAATATATGAATGAATTATATATGTCATGTGGGGCTTGTACCAACTGTATCTTATTAGTCAATACTTTCATTTATATTGAAAACAGTTATTACAGACAGTTGACTAATGTATATTTTATTCAATTTGTGCCTGATAAACATGACAGTTGTGAAGTGGAAGTTTTTAACAAGATGTTGGATAACCATTTGTCTGAAGTGGTGTAGGGTTTCCTGCCTAAGCAGGGGGTTGGACTAGAAAACCTCCAAGGTCCATTCTAACTCTATTATTATTATATTATATTACATTTCCTGATTATATTATCTACATTTATACTGAACAAAATGAGGTGATACTGATATAAATGTAAACATTGGATATTCCCCATGTTAGAAATTTTGAAATGCCCCCTTTTTAAAGTCACTTTTTATATTCCACTATTATTTTTGAATGCTAGTTTGGAGCTATATGAATTTATATAAGTTGATTCCCTGATGACTAATTTCCATGTTAAGACCGATGATGTATTTTTCAACATCATTTGTGCCCATTTCACTGGAAAGAGCAATGATTTTATAACTGGAAAATTGGTAATATACCATAATAAATAATTTAACATTTTGAAATATCTATACTAATAAAAAAAAGTTTTCTAACCAACTCTGGTTTTTAAAAGGTGTAATAAAAATGTTTTTATGTGATCCTAATCTTTACTTGTTGAAGGCATAAGCATACTTACCTGAACTCAAAGGGATTTGGTTTGTTGTAATCATGTAATCAAGATACTAATAAATGCTGCAGACTTTCTGCAGGACAGAATTCACTTCTGATGCAAAAGCTAGCCACTTGGATTGTCTTGGAAATCAACTAACCTCCCCCAAAATAGTTATTTCTGAAATTATTTCAATTTTCCTTGGAACTAATTTTTCTAGTATCTCATCTATTCAACTAACAATGTCTACAAAGAAGGTGGAGAGATATAGTTTACGCATTGTAAGACGCCCTGAGTCTCCGGAGAAGGGCGGCATATAAATCAAATTTTAAAAAAAAAAATAGTTGCAAAAATACAGCAGTCGGGCTGCAAAAATCTGAACTACCATAGGTAGAGTTTTCTAAATCTCTTTGATTCATTTGGATTTTTGTAGCCCAACTGAATGGATAGAAATGAATGAAGGAAACATATTATTCCACCCAACATTAGCATTAAATCTAATTGATAAATGGGTGGTGTTTGCTTTATGTGTTGAGACAAGTACTATTAGCCCCTGAAACCTATAGTCAGAAATGAAAGTCACAACAATGAATAAACTTGTTTTGCATGTTAATAGGGTGCTTCCACAATATGGGGAAGTAATCAAATAGATTGGTTTAATAATAATTAAATTGAGCCCATTTAATTATTCATTGATACTGTGGAAACATCATATTTTCTAATCCTAGGAAAAAAGGAATAGCTGATAATAATGGTATTTCTCAAAGTTGTACAAAATAATTGTTTTCATAATAGGAATTTCACATTTTTAGTATTTTGCTTGCTTAAGAATTGCATTTGTTAGTTTTTGGAGTGATACACAGGGAAAATATTATTTCCCATTTCCCAAGCAGCTACTTGTTCTCTAATGTTTATGAAACATTTTTCCTATAGGTTTATGAAATACTGAAAAGAACTACATGCACCAAAGCCAAGTATAGCATGGGTAAGAAAATTTATTTACATTTAAATTAGTCTGTATCCTAGCTTTCTGAATGTTTTTAGTTTATACTTTAAGAGATTATAAATTTTTACACTTTTCCATAAGATGCTGAATGCAATATACAGTAGATGTCCTGCTTAAAGACGTTTTGTGAAATGATTTTTAGCTCATAACATATATACAAGATTTTGATAAATAAAACAATTTCTTATAGATATAAACATTGCTTACAGATATCTTTTAATATAATTTTTATTTATAAGAACCAAGACTATTGGATTTGGTTTTGTCATACAAATACATGTATTGTATTCCTTTTCATGTTTATTTAGAAGCAAATGTCATTTGTTTTCCCTAGAAAGTATGGGGAAAGCTTCTAGATCTAACCTATAAAAATCTACTTGATGAAAGCAAAGATGCATTTATTCTAATATAGTGGCTTTTTGGATTTTTGCAACCCAGATTTGGGGACTGTAATTTAGTTTCAGTATGTGACTTTTCTTTTTAAATTTCAGTATCACGTTATTTTAATTTGCACTATGTAAACGAGCTCTTTATCAGTAAAGAATTTAATTTAAAAAGGGAAACTGAATTAATGCTATTTGTATATAAATACATGTTTTGACAAAAAAAACCAGTGATTCACTTTTTTGAAAACAAAAGGCAAATCAAGTTGATCGTATCAATTCTGGTGTAAAGCATGTCATGCCGTCAACATATCACTGCTGTTTGTGTATTTGGATATAAATGGACTGATCCTGAAAATATATTTTGGAACAGTTTATTGTTTATCATAAAAAGAACTATAATTAAAAAAAACTTTTAAACTAAGGGCATAATGAATTAGCAAAAAAAATCCTAAATCTGATGTCACTCATGCTGAATTTTAATTATATACTTACATCTCATTCAAGAACATTGTGTCAGCTCTATTCCTTGCATTCTAAAAAGCTCATTAATTATGTGGCTCCATTAAACAGTGTTTTTAAATTCAATATATTATTGTGGAAATGAAGACTATGCAACACTTCATATTCAAAGCAAAGGCATTTAAGAACTTGTGGAATTTAAGGAATTTAAGAACTTGTGGAACCTGTCTGTAGCTCCTTAAAACAGACACAATTTTTCTGGAGCTGCGTGACTGCCCTCTTCCGCTTTAGTATGAACCCAGTAGAAGTTACTTTTGGTTTAAGTGTTAAGTGTTGGCGAACCTTTTCAGCACCGAGGGCCAAAATGGGAGTGTGCACGCACGCATGGGAGCGCTGGAAACCGGAAGAGCAGCCGCCCAATGCGCATGCATTACTGGGCGGTTGCTCTTTTGGTTTCCAGTGCATGCATGCACACCGGCCACCTGGTCTTCTGGTTTCTGGTGCACATGCGTGCGCAAAGACCAGCTGGTCGGTGTGCATGCACTTGCCGGAAACTGGAAGAGCAATGGGTGACGGCTTGCATGCCTGGAGAGATAGCTCTGTGTGCCACTTCCATCATGCATGCCATAGGTTCGCCATCACGTGTTTAAACAGTTGTAAAAAGATGCTGCATATATGCTCATGGATGCAGAAATGCATTTTTTCTTTGAATCCAAAGCTTTTCATAAACATAATTTTCACAACAATATTTTTTTAAATAAGGTATCCTTTACCCCATATCTGGAACAGCAATCAGCCCTAGCACGAACCATTATTTACATTTGCTGAGTAGCTTTCATAACTTCAAGGCATTGCATTCTGGTTTTCTGTGTGTACGGCAGCTTTTCTTACATAGTAAGCTGCTGGGAACACTTTACAGGAAATACCTAGAGACATGTCTCTGCATAAATGCATATGACATTAGATATATCATTAAGATAAGCTGTAGAGTTGAATTTTTATTTTATTTATTTGTATTCCTCCTTTATTATTTTGACAAATAACTCAAGGCGGTGAATATATCCTACACACCTTTCTCCTCCTGTTTTCCCCACAACAATAACCTTGTGGGGTGGATTCAGCTGAGAGAGAGTGATTGGCCCGAAGTCAACCAATTGGTTTTCATGGCTAGGGTGGGACTTGAATTCACAATCTCCTGCTTTCTAGCCTGATGCCTTAACACTAGATCAACTGGGCTCTCTATTGTTGTGTTGATCTATTGCAATAAACATTATAAAGATTTTAATGAGTTGAAGGCAAAGTGCTATGCAGCAATTTAGATTAAAAGGACCAAATGTTGAGACCACTTGTTGAGAGCACTTTAACCCAAAAACACTTTTTCTACCATGCAATAAAGAAAAGGAGATTGTTCCTCTATTTTCTAACAGGTGTGTCTACATATGTTCCAAATTACATTTTACATCGGATGTAAATCACATCGGATTGCTAGAGGCATGTGTTGAAGTAGTTTGGTTCATCTAGGGCAGGGGTGTCAAACTCACAGCGTCATGGCAGCATCACATGACTATTGGGACTTTTTTTCCCCTTTGCTAAACCGGGCATGAGCGTGGCCAGAAAATGATGCATCCAGGCCGCAGGCCACGAGTTTGACAGTCCTGATCTAGGATACCATTTCTCAACCTGGTGCTCTCCAGATTTTTTGGATTATATCCAAATATTACACAGACCAAGAAATGTGGCAATCATAATTTTGAGTTATGGAGTGTAGTAGATCACTTTCTTGCAGTCATTTACTGAATCTGTTGAATATGGGAATCAACCCACACTTTTTTAACCTTGGTGATATCTTGATGGTATCTTTGAAAAAGGATATTTTTCAATCAAGATCAAGGAGTCCATGCCTTCTTCGCACAGAGCTGTTTCCTAGCATTTACCAAGCAATTTGTGATTATGATTATAAGCTACGTTAATAGGCTTGGTTACATTAATAAAGGATCTCCTTTCACCAGAATTATGTATATAAGAAAAACCCTAATTTTTTAAAAGTAGATTGCATGTAAATGGATCTTACATCTCCTGGAAAGTATTTGTATCAAAAAGATGTGAATGCTTGCAGTCTGTTAACATAAATAATAATAGGGATTATTGGTTAGAAAAAATGAGAATTTATTTTGAATGCATCAAGATACTGATAAAATGTATAGATGTGAAATGCGGTCTCATTATCTCCAAACTAACCTAAGACACCTCCAGGGTTCTGTTTTCAAATAATTAGTATTTTACCCTCAAACAAATGGACCAGCAGCTTCAGTATTGGAAGAGGAAGATTATATTATACCAACAAATGTTTCCTGCCATTTGTTTGGACTGTTGTTGGTACTTGGCCAATTTGTAGTCAAAATGTAGATGTATAGTTTCAAGCTTTTAAAACTCAATGGAAGAATGTAGTTACAGCCTCTGTGTGTTGCAGGTAGGATTATTATGCTCATGATGTTTAACAAATGAGCAGGGTTAGCTTTTCTATTTTTTTTTTTAACAACAGGATCTAGGCTACTGAGAATTACCCCATTTAAAAGTGAAGCAGCTAGTCTTTGTCATTTTAAAGAACCAGTTTTACATTTGCCACTTTTTTTAAATTTTATTTTGATTTATATGCTGCCCTTCTCCAGAGATTCAGGGCGGCTTACAAGGCGTTAAGCAATTGCAACTTAAGCAATTTAGAACCACAAACAGAAGAATATACTAGAATGCTTGAGAAAATAAAACTGATTATCTTATGGCCAGGCAGTTCTGTATGACTTTGCCATTTTAAATATCATAAATATATATTGGCAGATGATTTAGAGAGGGAAATTCACTAAGGTTGCTGCTAATGTTGATAATAGACTAACTTGTGCATGCATGAGTGCTCCTTTTTATGTTGCAATTCTGTAAATAATGTCAAAATCAGTTGCATTGATCATTTCACTTTCTTAAAAAGCAAAGGAAAAGTTTTGGTATTCCTAGTAAACTTTTTGTGGAATATCCCAATTGTCTGTTATATTATTATCAGGAGAAAACCAACCATTGCACATAAATGCCTTCTAGAACATTTGGCAACAATAATCAATGAGAAGCTAGCACAAAATACAACTGGAAATGTTATAATGCTGCATTCAGAAGAAATAATTATAATGAAGTAATCTGTTTGTTAAGACAAATTTTAGGTTTTAAGGAAACTGAAAATATTTTCTCAAAATACTATTTAACAAACAATGGTAAACCCTTTTGTATTCCTGTCCAGTGCTTTTTAATTTTTTTTTATTTTTGTATGGTTTTACTGATTAGATTAAAGCCAGTGTTCAAAACAGGCTATCAGGAACCTCAAGCATGTATTCTTAGGTAACATAATCTCTTCAAAGTTTGTTAGGATTCCAATATTAGAAAGCTGTTACTTTAATTAGAAAGCTGCTACTTTAATGTTGGCTGCTGTAATGGGAAAAAAAAACATTTAGGAATAAAATATAGCTTTCAAAAATTTATAAATGGCTGGACTATGATCAGCTTTATCAAAGTGCATTCTTCATTCACTACAAAATCTCAGCATCTCCCAGTGTGTCTAATCTTACTTAATTCCAAACTAAAGATAATTCCTCTGAAGAAATAATATACATTTCCTAGAGTCTCCCGTCGCACAAGCATTGTAACTGCTCAATTATATAACTAATAGACAAATGTGTAAACAGGGAAAGGAGAGGGAAGAAAGAAGGACACTACCCTTTTAAATAAAAGACGAAAATGTGATAAATATGGTAAGTATGATGCTAAGGCCTTTCCAAAGGCTTTCCAAATAGCTTCTCTAATCAAGCTTAAATCTGATTTTAAAACTCTGTATGAGTGTGTGCGTATGGTTTGCATGAGGATGTGCGTGGGGATGCGTCCTGTCCCCAATGCTCAATCAAAGCTCTCTCTTTCTTACAATCTCGCCTTTTGCTACCCTTCCAAATCTGTGAGCTTGCTTTTCAAATCCAATTTAAAGATTCAAGGTAGGTAAGTGATTACACTGATTAATTTGAAGTTCATTGGTTTTCTCTCTTGATTTGAAATCATGATTTGTGATTCTCTATACATTTCCTTTTCTTGATATCAATCCACTTTATAGTCCATACAGTTAAAAGATATGGAATCAAATGAAATGGGCCAAGATTCATTCTTTAATAAAAATCATTGAAGTTTTGAGAGGGAAATCTCCACACATGGAAAGTGAGGGAATTACTTGAGAGAATTCAATTGTGGTAATATAAATAGGAATTTCTTCTTGTTTTTTCAGGGATCACCAGTCTACTTGCCAATAGTGTTTACAGTGCTGCATATCCCTTGCATGATGTAAGTAGTCTTGAAATATATTTTGTGTTTCTAGAAGACGAAACCAAGAATCCCTAATGCATTAGGTATGAATGACACTATGCTAAACATCTTCAGTATTTCATGAGCCAGCCAGCTGTACATTTAGATTAAAAATTAGCAGTTTGTTTAAGAATCTGCCAACTTGTTATGGATTTAGTCCCAAACTGAATTTCTTTCCATTTTACACGGAATAGAACTATACAGTCGACTCAGCAAATAACCAACTCAGCAAATACTCACTTTGATTTTCTGCCTTCAAGAAGTATATATCCAACTTAGCTATCTATCTTCTGATTTAAATATATCTGATATCTTTTTATGCTTATAAAGGTTTGGATGGTGATAGAATAGGAAGATATATTAACCATTCAAGTTATTTTTTTATTCTGGCTATGTATTAAATGATGCTTATATTTTTGCAAGCATGGCCCTCTTTGGTGACTTTTTATATACAAAATACAATATAAAAGTGCAGATAGCTGTCAGTTATGGTGGATTCTTAGTCATGAATAATATATATTTATATGATAGATGTTCATGATCATAATATTAAAATCCAGAGTCACCTTATAGGGGAGATGGGCAATATTAAAATTTAAATAAATAAATAAAATGTTTTGTTTAAAAGTGACAATTTAGTCAATGTCATGCGTGAAAATGAATGTTAACAGAAACTTTAAAAAATAACTTATGTTTTAGTAATACAAATCTTATGTTGTTAGGGCTATATCTACTCAATCAGAAGATTTAGAATGAAATATTCTGAAGGGAATATATTTTTCACTGATTCTGGACCTTTGAGTTATTATTAGCTTTTTATGGAAAGGACTGCTAGACGCAAATAAAATATATTCCAGCTTTGGGTATTCCTTGTGGAATAACATCATTTTTTTTTTCTTAAAGGGTGATTATGAAGGTGAATATGTTGAGCCTAATGACAGAAAAGTAAGTTGATATAGGGGAACAGAAGCATTTTCAAGTATCAACTTTAAGAATTATGTGTTGTGATATAGACAATTGCCAATATTTTACTGAAAGTCAGAGGTATTTAGAAGTGCTCTTTTAAACTCTTGTATTAACTGTGGCAGGACATCCTCGGTAGATGGAGGCAGACATTATTTATTGAAGAATTTACAATCATAGACCAAAAAGACAAAAAGGAAAATCAATATGCAGTCTATCCCACATATCAACTTATTCACAGCAAAAACTAAACAGGCCTCTATTATGTTCAGCTTTAAAGGTTCTGACTGCCATTGTTGTGGCAAGAATTTGGTCACTTTCTTAGAGACTTCACAATATTGGATATTTAATAGAAATCGCATAGTTGCCTGTCAGGACTAGTTTGGTACTTCGATAATTAGAGAAGTGAGGATAGATTAGCTCCATCTGCCAAGGAATGACCTTTCAAAGGTGTGCATGCAACTGTCTCAGTATTCTGACCTAGGCTTCCTGATATAGTAAAAAGCACACAATTAATCCCAAAAACCCTTTTTTTATTTTAACGGCTGTGAATTCCTTTCATTCACAGCATGTACTGAATCACCAAGAGTTTATAAATAGTCCAACAGAAGTCTGCCACAGTCCTTCGGATAAGGCTGGTAAACACCCACCTTTATCTTCTTTGACATGCTGCCAAAGACCTAATTGGCAATTATCTTGGCAAGGCCACATTGAAACACAGAGTCAAAAAAGGAGCTTCAAAGTACAAACTGACACCATCCACAACGTTGCTTCGTGCAAAGGCCCACGTGCCTTTGCTCTTCTTTTATGTCTTATGGGAGGGGCCAATCATCTCCAAGCCTTACTTCTGAATCATCCTTTTTGTTTTAACTGTTCTTGCCTTCTGGCAGCTCTGTGTATATGCGCACTAGGAATAGGCTTCCTCTGTTCTTCTGCCTCTCTGATGTCAGACTCTGGAGGCTCCGGAGTCCGCACATAACTCCCAGATGGCCCTGGCCCCATCTCTGCCTCCGACGCAGAGACCTTGTCTGAGCCTTCCCCAGACTCCAGGACTGGCCCCTCCCCAGTTCTTCACTGTCCAACTCTGCTGCCAGCTTTGCAGGCTGCTGGTGGACCACAACACTCAGTTTTAGTCATAAGCATTTTGAATAGAAGTATTATTGAATCTCACAGTGAAAACCACTGAAGGCAGAGCACTTAGGTATGACTGTGAGTATTCACCTCTATAATGACACAAGCATATCTAAAAGTATGTGGTGAAAGGAAATACCTGAATTCATAGTAGTATAGGTGCAAGGTTTACTGTAAATCTATCCCTTTGTAATCATTTAGAATCACATCATAGGTCCAGAAGGGACTTTGGAGGTCTTCTAGTCCAATCCTTGCCCAAAACAGGATTTCTTATACCATCTCACACAATTGAATGTCCAATCTTTTCTTGAAAACCAGTGATGGCCATTCACAACACCAGAAGGCAAGCTTTTTCCACAGGTTAATTGCTCTCACTACCAGGAAATTTCTCCTTAGTCCCAGGTTGGACCTCTCTTTAATGAGCTTCCCACCTGTTGCTTCTTGTCCTGTCCTCTGGGGCAATCAACCCTCTTGACTGCTGTCTTCAATCAATATGTCAAATATATATCAAATATATATTTAAATCAAATGGATCGAAATGACACACACATACACATATGTGATTTAAAGTAAGCTTCATGAAATAAATATACAAACACATAGATGAATTTATAGCGTCAGAGAACAATGGGCATGATGTTGATACTGAACAATCTCTGGTTGATCTTACTCCAGGCTTTGGCAAAGCTCAGCATAGATAAGGCTTGTGAGGATAAGAATATAACAGGCTACGCTATATGTTACTTACTTCTTCTAGGGAGAATTTTTATTGGTCTATTAGTACAAATTGGATTAGAACTAATTGGTCTTATTAGTACAAGTTAGATAGGTTTGTTTAAGCCAGAACTTTTAAGTGGAAGAGCCTCAAGTCCAAGAACTAAAGAAGTGCATTTGCAACAATAAGAGGAACTCAATGCAGAGACCTGAGGAATTTGGACTGAATGCTTCTGGCATAACACTGTTCATTAGCAGAACTCCATGGGCTATACAGCAAGACTTAGCAATTTAGTTTTAAAAGATTGAAGTGCTGCAGGCACATAATTGTTTCTCTTAGAGCTTGTGTATCTGGTTGTATTTACTAAGAGGCACAATAACTCCTCTAGTATTTGGACAATCAGCAATACCCAAGTTGAGTAGCCAAAGCTTTTATGAAAACCTAGATATCTATTTCCAATTGCATACTTCCTGGAAGCTTCAGTCCTCAAGCTTGACATATTCTGCACATACTTACTGTCAATCACACAATAAGTGGATGGCAAAAGCAAAAAAGAAACCATTTTAATATTAACAAGGTTGGAGACTGGTGTATTAAACAAAACTCAAGTAACTTAAGGCCACTTCTCCTGTGATGGTAATTAACACAACAGTGTCATCCTTATATGAAATAGTGTCCCCTCATACAATTGATTATTTGTGTTACGAAAGCTAGCGAATTACTTATTACATTTTTACTACAATTTTTTTTAGTGCTGCACTAAAGTTTCTCCTTTTTGCTGCCATTTTTATCAATATTAATGGAAAAGAAATGGATTTAGTTTTTTTTTGTGTTTGTTTGTTTTCCAAGGCAAATCCTGATAAGTAAAATATAGAGAGCTATCACTTGATTTAGTTCTGTGTGAATAAGTGGTGCAAACGGGTGTCCTGTTTTGCACTATATAATTATCTCTACAGCAATCTGCTACTGGTGTTCAATTCCAAGGAAAGGCAAGTACCCAGGGAAATTGCAGGATGGTGGAAAGATGCACAATAGAAAAACAATATCGGGAACACCTGCCATTTCATGACAATAAAATAAGCTCAGAAATCTGGATCTACTAGAAAGCTTTGGAGAAATCATATTTCAGTACAAATGTATCTGTTTTTATTCTAAAGGACAAATGGTTCTGGATATTTAAAAAAAAAAAAACTTGGCCATCCTTGCTATTATAGAATTCAAAGATGTGGAGACTCTAGAAAGAGTTCAGAGAAAAGCAACAAAAATTATTGGGGGACTGGAGGCTAAAACATATAAAGAATGGTTGCTAGAATTGGGTATGTCTAGTTTGATGAAAAGAAGGACTGGGGTGACATGATAGCAGTATTCCAATACCCCAGGGGCTGCCACAAAGAAGAGGGAGTCAAGCTATTCTCCCAAGCACCTGAGGGCAGGACAAGAAGCAATGGGTGAAAACTAATCAAGGAGAGAAACAACCTAAAATTAAGGAGAAATTTCCTGACAGCTAGAACAATTAATCGGTGGAACAACTTGCCTCCAGAAGTTTTGACTGCTCCAGCACTGGAAGTTTTTAAGAAGAGATTGGATAACCATTTGTCTGAAATAGTATAGGATTTCCTGCCTAAATGGGGTTGGACTTCCAAGGTCCCTTCCAACTCTGTCTATTCTATTCTATTCTATTCTATTCTATTCTATTCTATTCTATTCTATTCTATTCTATTCTGGAGGGGATCGTTTTCTATTCCACCTCAGTCCAGTCTAGAGGGGTTTTGACTTAATTATGTGACCATGTGCATTCCAGATCTCAATGCTAGCAACTACATCATCATATGGGGGAATGATGCAGACTTGGATCATTTAATGCAGCAGCTTCATTTGCACATGTTCCAAGGGGCATCAAAATATGTACAGCTCCATTAGATACAAGATTTCATATAATCACAATCGTCTTTTAGGCTCCTAATCCCTAATCAGTTTCACCACCACAATCCCCCAGAAAATTTATCACATTCCTTTTCCATTTTTGTTTTCCCTTAATATATTCATCATTCAGAGACTTTTCATATTTCAGTTGTTAATAGCATGTTACACCATTTTCCGTAATATAGAAAATTCAGTTCAGCTGTCATGAAAGTGTGCTGTGAATGAAAATAGAGTTGCTGGTGGACAAATAGTCCAACATGCATATTGTTATCAGTACAAATGTTTAAATGAAACCGTTTCTAAAAATAAAAGAATTTTTTAAAAATGTATGAGTTATTGAATCTAGAATTAAGTATACTGGTCCCAGCTCAGAATTCAAAAGTTATTTGGTGGCATATAAAATTCCGACCATAAACTCTGAAGAAGGATTGGAGGTAGTTATCCATGAAAGAGCCTTTGATCTAAGTTCAGAACTGTCCTGCTACCTCCTCACTTTCTTTAAAATAGTTATCCATCCTAATGTAAAATTAAGACTTTCTGTAGCCTCTGAAAAATAACATCTCAAATTGTTTTACTGGATGTATTTAATCATGAATAGTTAACATGTCAGAAACATTCTAAATATATGGCCTAATTTTCTTCTTTTTTATGACTTTTTATGACTATACACTGAAGAAAAGCAAAGAAAGTGAATAGCAAAGTAACATCTTAATCTAATTTAATTTCTTGGCAAGGTTTTGGCAAAGTTTTTCAGAAGTTGTTTGCCCTTGCCTGTTTCCTAGAGCTGAGAGAAAGTGACTGGCCCAAGGTCAGCCGGTTGGTTTCATGCCGAAGGTGGGGATAGAACTCATGATCTCCTAGTTTCTAGCCTGGTGTTCTTAACCACTACAACAAACTGGATCTCGCATTAACTTGGTAACTGCATATATCCAGTCCCAGCTTTAGTATCTCAGTTGCATCTCACTACTCTCTGTTTATTAGTTTTTCTATAAATGAATACAAGAATATGACCGTGAGCCAAACCACAGACACAATCAATTTTTAATGCAAGCTGAATATATTGGTGGAACATAAAAAACTAAAATATAATGACACTAGAGACATTGAGAACTAAGCAGTAGAATTGAAATAAGAAATTACTTGTTTCCAGTTTTCATTTTCTGTTTAAATTTCTTTTCTAGCTCCTGTGTGAAGAATGGGCAAGTTATGGAGTATTTTATAAATATCAACCAATTGACTTAGTTAGGTAAGAAACAGTGATAACTCCTTACTTGTCTCTTACAAGTCCTTATGTGTTTGTATATGTGCATTAACAGTAGCAGACTACAGCTTTTGGGTAACAGTTGTAGAAAACTGTATCTTTCATATAGCTAGACATCAGCTTATGAAAAGTGGCCTTTGAAAAACAGAACCAAAGAGATAAAGCATATTCAAGTTTAGGATAAAAATTCATATTGCACAGGCCATACGATAGTCATCTGTTTTTCCCCAGATTTACAAGCAATGATCTTAAACCATTTGAACAGTGCAGTTTGGGGTGGGTTTGGATTTTTTTCCCCTTCTTCAACAAATATACTCAAATGCATGGATCTTAGTTGGAAGCAAAATCAGGTAAAAATAATTTTAAAGGGATATTATACATTATAAAGGGATATTATAAACCATTTCCAATATGAGTAGTTCTCATGTTTCCAGATCAATATGGAAATATCATATTCCAGATCTAAACCTTTTTCACCTATTTTTTGTGAAGGGTGCTTTCTCTTACATCCCTTGCTATTAAATTATATTGTTTATTTCCTTTGGAGATTTTTTTATTGAATTTTATTAAAAAGCAACTGCCATAGCAAATGTACCAGGGCACTTGCATGTGGTACTTTAAACTTGGACCTACAGTAACTTTAATAAACAGAACTGTTAAGTATTTGTTTTGGTGTAGGGATGAAATTATTACTGAGACATTAAAGGATATTATGGACTGAAGAAGTTTGGGAACCTCTGCCATAATGGTTTGTTTTATATTGAATCAAACCATTGACCCATCTAGAACAGTGTTTCTTAAACTTGGCAACTTTAAGATGTGTGGACTTCATGCTGATGGGGAGATTCTGGAAGTTGAAGTCCACGCATCCTAAAGTTGTCAAATCTGAGAAATACTGATTTAGAACATTTAGAATTATAAATTTAGAACTATACAAGTTCCCCTGAATTTAATGGTCTCTAAATGTATTGAGTCTTCTGGTCGCAAAATTCAAGACTAGTTTTCTCAACACAACTGGAAGGTACCAAGTTCAGGATGCCTAGTATACACTGAACAACAGCAAGTGTCTAAAATTGCAGATAGCGCTTTCCCAGTTCCACCAAGACAGTCAATCTGGAATTTTATGTCTGCCGACCTTTTGCTCTACTAATAAAGACTACATGGAAGTCACAATTGATTTGGAATGTGACAGCTCATGTAATAATGGGTACACTAAACTACACCCATGTAAGACCACAGCTTTGCAAATGGGCCTAACTCCCAGTAGGCTTCCAGGTACAATTCAAGGTGATGGCTACCACTTATAAAGCCATTCATGGCACAAGACCAGAAAGGTTGTTTATGGGACCATAAACCAATATCCAATTTCTTTCTGCCCCAAGTTTCACAAAGTGAGTATGCTCTTGGTTCCCTCTGTGAAACAGTGCCAGATACAACTATAGAAACAGAAAGGTAAAGCTACTTAATAAGCAAGAGTGGAGTATTTACTTGGTGTTTTTATCCTGGATCTGTTCCAAATGGCATGTGGACATGAATTCTCCAAGAGGAAATGCATTTTGGCTAATCAACAGGATTTATTTTCTCATTCAGTCAGCCCTGCTGTCTAATTCATAAATTTAGCCCTGCTACGTTTGCCATGATACATTATATAGTGTTTTCTTCCTATAATATATTTCAGGAAGTACTTTGGTGAAAAGATTGGACTATATTTTGCCTGGCTGGGAGTTTATACACAAATGCTCATTCCAGCTTCTATTGTGGGAATTATCGTGTTCCTTTATGGTTGTGCAACTGTTGATGAGAATATACCAAGGTAAAATATTCTGCACTTTGATGTACAAAACCATCTTTTTCACGTCTGTTAATATGCTGAAAAATATCCTAAATGATTTTCACTAAAGCTAATGCTTTAGGTTCTGCAACCATACTTATATATATATGTGTGTGTGTATGTATATATGTATATGTATGTATACATATATGTATATGTATATATATATCACAACTTACAACATTCATTTCTCAATTCAGGATCTTATTGTTACATTCATGAGTTTTGCTTATAAATAATGAGAAGTTAGGTATCAGAATTTCCCCAGGATTCAGTTTTCTTGGTCACAGGGATATAACAAACTTATAGTAAACCGCTCCAAACTTGATTGCAGAAAATAAGACTTCAGTAACAGAGTTGTTAATGCCTGGAATGCACTACCTGACTCTGTGGTTTCTTCCCCAAACCCCCAAAACTTCAACCTTAGACTGAATCCTGGGGAAATGCTGATACCTAACTTCTCATTATTTATAAGCAAAACTCATGAATGTAACAATAAGCTCAGAACAATATAAGTGGGGGTTGCTCTGTGGTGTTCTGCTCTTACACCTTTTGAATTTTGTGAAATTATCTTAAAAGAAGAATGGCAACCTATGGTCATTGGGCCCAGTCTTTGCAGCCCCCAGAATCTCCTATGACTGCTAATGTTGAATGTGGTGGTACAATTCCTGATCATTTGTGACACATGGGAACTGTGGCATATGTCGTGCAATAAACTTAACATAAATTTAAAAATTGTCTTCAAGGTCCCTCCATTCACCCAAAACAACTCCCATAACTACCTAAACCACTGTAGCCAAAAATGTTAACACAGCCATAAAGTATAAAGTACATAAAGTGCACAGCCATAAAAATGTCCTAAAATAATAATATATTAATGTAATAATCAAATGGATTTGGATAAAATGCATTAATGTGTTCAGTCCTGCACAGGCTGTGTCATCAACTAAAATTTCAGTCTGAGGCCTGTATTCAGTGTCACAAAAACTTAAATTCATTAAAATAGAATTACACAACTCTGAAATATGTTTAATTAAAGACTCCTTGTGAGACAAATTTTATTCCTGATGATTAATTGAGATATTCCATCTGGTATTAACCAGATTTGACCCTGCTAGGTTTTTTTCAATGTTAACCATGATCGGATAAGTACCATCTGATAAGAAAAGTGATATATAAATTCATTAAATAAATAAATTGTTGTAATTGGAAATGGTCTCATGGTGAAAACATCAACTGGTGGATTGGATAAACAAAGGCAGTGGACCTACCATTCAGATTTGTCTGGATAAATGATAGGTTTTTTTACATTCATATTGTCTGAAACAGAAGTCTTCAAACTTGGCAGCTTTAAGACTTGTGGACTTCAACTCCTAGAATTCTCCAGCCAGCTGGCTGGAGGACCCCCTGGTCTAAAACTTGTTACAAACCATGAGGTTTAGTTTGCTGATGACATAGATCATGTGCATGGCTCAACCCTTCTTATTTCAGACAATTTACCTTGTTCAGACATGATGGTCAAATAGGGAGGAATTCTGGATGAAAACTAACACCAGCTAGCGCTAAACATGAATAATACAAATATAGTAATAATTTATGCTGGAAAGGAAAGAGAAGAGAAAGATCAAGGAGAATCCTGGAATGCATGATTCTGCAGTCTGCTTCAAATCACTCTGTCATAGTTTAAAAATGAATAGTGATCCTTTGATACAGTATTAGACCACTATATTTCTGTGATTAGAAGACTGGATTATATTTCAAAAGATCTGAGTAGATAGTCTTAGTGCACTCCACTACTGCAGCCTTGTGAAGTAATAGAGTATAAAAAACAGAGCCCAAGTGATTATACTAATATAAAAGTACTCAGAAAGCCCAGGTGTTAAGTGCAGAAGATTGTCCCAGAGTAATAAGCCCAATTGTTTAATCTGCTTTTTACAGTTGTCAGGAATCCATGATGCCATTTGGCTACTGGCCATGCAGCTGATGCTGTAATACAATGCATCTGAAATGGGGGGGGGGATTAAGTTTGGATAAATATGCTTAGATTCAAGTCATATTCAATGTATGTATTTCACAACTCAGGGTTTCAGTAGAAAGCAAAGGGAAGGATATGCTCACCTTTCATTTACTGTTTGCTTTCCCTCAGCATGGAGATGTGTGACCAGAGAAACAATATCACCATGTGCCCCTTATGTGACAGAACATGTAGCTATTGGAAATTGAGCTCTGCTTGTGCCACTGCTCGGGCTAGCCATCTTTTTGATAATCCAGCCACTGTCTTCTTCTCAGTCTTCATGGCTCTCTGGGGTAAGAATGCTTATATCATTTTGGAATAATATGCTTGAAATTTTCATTTGACTTTGAGTTTAACTTTCCTTATATGGAGAACAAGTAGGACAATATGTCATCATCAGTTAATTATCTGTACTGTCCCTTTTTGGTCCTTCTGTTATAAAACTGTCACATTTACATTTATATTCCGAACTGAAATTCAGAAAATTGCTTGGATGAATACAAAGCAAAGCACGGCACAAAGCTACTTAGGGATTGTATAGCATGTCAGCAATATCTGCTTGTAGACTTGGTCTTGATCTGATCAGAAGACTACAACACTCAATCATAGTTAAATTTACTAAAGTGCATTAATGTTACTGGTAAAGGTAAAGGTTCCCGTCGCAAATATGTGCTAGTCGTTCCCGACTCTAGGGGGCAGTGCTCATCTCCATTTCAAAGCCGAAGAGCCAGCGCTGTCCAAAAACATCTCCATGGTCATGTGGCCTGCATGACTAAATGCTGAAGGGGCACAGAACACTGTTACCTTCCCACCAAAGATGGTTCCTATTTTTCTACTTGCATTTTTACATGTTTTCAAACTGCTAGGTTGGCAGAAGCTGGAACAAGTAACGGGTACCGCCGAACTGCCAACCTTTCTGATTGACAAGTTCAATGTCTTAGCCACTGAGCCACCATGTCCCTGTTACCAGTAGGATACTGTTTATTTCACTCAATGTGCCCTTTCAATTTTGAAGGCATCTCCTGTTTGTGAAGAACCTACATATTCTCATTCACATATTGAGATGCTGTAGCAATAGAAAATCATGCAAAATGATTTGTGGGAAACAACAGCGTAAAACTTTAGTTTTAAAAAATTAAAAGTTTTCTTCACTTATGAATTTGGGACACTTAAATTCTGGTAAAACATCCTAGTGTTTCAGTGGTGGATACCTGCATATGACTTAGATATAAGAGGTTCTGGGATGTGGATGTTTGTACCAATGGTGAAATCTAAAATTTGTTACTACCGGTTCTGTGGGCGTGGCTTGGTGGGAGAGGTGTAATGTGATTGGGTGGGCGTGGCCATTTTTTGTTACTTTTAAAACCATTTTTTCTACAACCTCTTCGGCGAAGAGGTTGTAAAAAAATGCTTTCAAAAGGTTCTGATGTTCCAGCTGAGTTGCCTGATTGGCAGAGACTTTTTTTCTTTTAAATGCCTCTGACGATCAGGCAATTCAGCTTGGATCATCAGAGGCATTTAAAAGAAAAAAAGGGTTTTTTTTCTTTTAAAAGCCTCTGACGATCCCAGCTGAGCCGCACGATCATCAGAGGCTTTTTTTTTTACTTTTAAAAGCATTTTTTCGGCCGAAGAGGTTGTAGAAAAAATGCTTTTAAAAATAAGAAAAAAGCCTCTGATGATTGTGAGGCTGAGCTGGGCATGGGGGGCGGGGGGCAGGGATTTTTGCTACCGGTTCTGCAAACCACCCGCCTCCATCGCTACGGGATCGGGCGATCCAGTCCGAACCGGGAGCATTTCACCCCTGGTTTGTACATAGTAAAGGCACATTCCAAGTCTGTCAATGGCTACAACCATCATGATGGTTGTTTATTATTTCCAGCATCAAATCACATGGTTCTGCATACCAGTTGTTAGGGAGTAGGAGCGGGAAGATTTGGCAGTATTTTCTGATTTTGTGCTTCTCATATTGATCTGATTGCTTTCCATAGCAGTTCTACTAGGCAAAGAGTGTCAAACTCGTGACACGTCATCATGTGACGTATTGCAACCTTTTCCCCCTTCGCTAAAATGGAAGAGGGCGTGGCCAGTACATGACGCACTCAGCCCACGGGCCGTAAGTTTTACACCCCTGTACTAGGCCATCCTACACCATTGGAACTCTCCAACTATGTGTTGAGATTGAGTATTGGCCATATCAACATGTCTGGAAGGTGCCAAATTGGAGGAAGAAGAGATAAAACTCTGGAGGACATGTTTAATGTAGTTCCTATGCAGAATACTTTCACAGAACTATTTATGAATTGATAGCTGTATAATCTTTGCCTTTATGGTTGCTTTTTTTTTTTTTTTTGCTTTAATTTATATGCCACCCTTCTCCAGAGACTCAGGGTGGCTTACAATGCGTTAAGCAATAGCCTTATACTTTTGTATATTTATACAAAGTCAGCTTATTGCCCCCACAATCTGGGTCCTCATTTCACCTACCTTTGAAAGGATGGAAGGCTGAGTCAACCTTGAGCCTGGTGAGATTTGAACTTGCAGTAATTGCAAGCAGCAGATGTTAATCTGTTAATAACAGTGCTTTAGTCCACTGTACTACAGTTTTAGCCTGGTATCATCATATAAATATACAGAAAGTAGTTAATCCTTGCAAAGAGAGAGAATACAGTTCCAGTTGTTTTGAAGGAAGTAGCTTTGTGAAATTATTCCAAAAGTTGTCTCTGGATTCTAAGTTTAATATTTCATCTAATATCAATTGTAGATATTGATAACTACAATATAAATTGTAGTTAAATATAGTCTCTCATCTGGGGCAAGATGCTTAAACCAAAAGGAACAGATTATTTCCAGATAGTCTTATGGATCCATTTCTGTCTTATTTTCAATTCAGTTTTGGGCTAAAACTTTTTTTTTTTAACTTTAATTTTTGCTCACCAAACCTTTCACATTTTTTTTTACTGAGGGGCAACACAGACTGACTAAAGATAGCAAATATAATTCTTAAGGGCCAGAAGAGGGAGATATGAGAGATACAACCAGGCAAATGATCAGATACCAGAAGGTAGTCGTCCAGCACAAACACTGTCAAACAACTATTTTTTTCTGACCTTGCTCACCAGCAGTCATATATATATACACTGAGCCTGGCTAATTATTCATTGTATATAACTAATATTTCTTGTAATCCTCCTCACCCAAAACCAGTACAGGAGGAAAATCTTTCTTCTCCTGTTGTTCTTCTTGTGTGACCAAGTTTTCTCTTATCCTTGGACAAATACTAAGATCATGTTAAAACTGTGGGTGGACACAACTCATGTTTTTCTATTGCTGGAAAGTATCAGTCACAGGAAATCATATAAGGTCTACAGAAGTGATTACTGGAAATTATTGCCCTCCCTTTTCTGAGGAGGGACGCCTATTCAGTATAACCCCTTATTTGTTTCCAAGATAAATTAGAACAGAGAGAGAGAGAGAGAGAGGTTTCTCTTTAGATTCTTCACCTGATTACTGTTTTTCATAAATATTCATAAATATCCTTCAGAAAAAGACATTGTAAGATAATTGCCTACAGATGTAGGCACCTCAAAATCAGATGTGTTATTCAGGCCTACTTTGGGCATGGAATTTTGTAAAACTTGTTTATAACTCATAGGAGGGAAATTGGACAAGCTTCTGTTTTACCCTATGCACAAAACCAACATTAATGCAGCTCTCTACAATTTTCCTTGCCTCAGGAATTCTGGTATAAAGTTAGGCCAAGAAAGTAAGCTATAATTTCAGAAGTGGGAATCCACTGCAAAGAATTTCAGCAGAGTGACTCATATCAGCTCCTGCATAGCTCATGACAGGAATCCATGTCTCCAAATTTGCACTAATCTGATTGTCAGGATCAGAATCTAATGCATAAAATGGTTGTACGAAGCACCATTCCCAAATACGGCATATTAAAGCTGAATTTCTAAAAATGAAGCAAGAAATACTTTTCTATAAACTGCACTACAATTTCTACACAGGTGATCTTCACATATTACTTGAAGCACATGTCTTTCCTAAGAAAAGCCTCATTGCATGTGAGGCAGCCATCCTATGCCATTCATGGTTTCTTCTTTCGTGTATTTACATATGTTATTAGTCACAGGTATGGCTTGCAAGACGATGTTTCTGCAACATAGTTATAAGTTCCATTGTGTCCAAATAAAATTCAGAAAAAGCTGCTGAAGCCTTGGAAAGCCACTACTATTCATCATCTAGACAGTACTGATACAATAGGTTTAGCTCAGCACAAACTGATTGATCATTATTATATGCCATTAAGTCAATTTTGACTCTTAGAAACTGCATAGATATATTTTTTGCAGGTTAATCTGTCCCTAACCTAGTTCTTCAGGTACTCCAGCAAGGTATCCATAGCTGCTATAATTACATACATTACTCCCTTGCTACTGTCATCCTGTTTTCTCTTTCCTTCTACCTTTCCCAGCATTACAGACTTCTAAAGAGAGCTAGGTGAGAATTCTGACTGATTTATTCTATGATCCCTATGTTTGTTTCCTTACAGCACAGGTTTTATAAATACAATGTTAAAAGATACGGAGCGAATACATAGTCCATTCCTAGTTTAGTACATATAACCCAGTTTGAGTCCTTTGAAAACATTTTGCTCCAGCAAAATAATGAATGTTTCAGGCTTGTACTGCAAAACCCCTACATTCTGCAGCTTAAAAAATCTCATGTTATGCTTCAGTAGAATATAAAAAACCTGTGAAGTGACATGATTTTAATTATAATAACTTGATATAGATAATGGTTTTTAACCATCAGTTTTGGATATTTTTTTTCCCGTTTGGGTGCTATGACCCTTTTATACATTATGTGAGTCTGCATGGGTGCTATTTAGCAATGTACATTATAGAAGATATCATCCTGCTGAACATCATTTTAAAGACTGTTGCCTTTTGATCATGGAAGAAAGTTTACAAATTTATGAGCATGACTCAGAAGTCAGGAAATGACTTCACAGAAATCCAGTGGTCAAGAGCAGAGACTAGAATCTCATAGCCCTATATCAGTCCGGCTGACAACAGAATAATGTGCAGGGATTGCTTCCAAAAACTGTGGAAAAGTGTTCCTCTGTTTCTGTATGCGTGGACACATGCAAAAGGAGAATGCCGAATGGGAGAAGGAAAACGGTGATGGTAGCTATCAATTTGTAGAAAATGAAAATAGAGCTCCCAGTTTTACTGCTGAAATCTCATGTTCAATTTTGAATAAAATGAATCAGCTATTATTTTTCTCTGTTAAAAATATCAGCGACCTTGGAGAAAGAACTAACTTGTTTGAAGGCAGTTTGCTTTGTACCTAGAATCTGCTCCTGAAGAGATCTGGTTTTTTAAAATAAACATATTCTTCCCGTTTCTTTTCTTTCTTTCTTTCTTTCTTTCTTTCTTTCTTTCTTTCTTTCTTTCTTTCTTTCTTTCTTTCTTTTTTGTCTTCTTTAAATACATTTCCAAAGCATTCGTAACAGGCTCACAAACTTTTAGTTTGGCTCGTTTTTCCGGAACAAATTGTGAGCCAAGGCATCTGGGCATTGTCCAAGGAAAATGCAGGCATAAGCTTTGTGTAATCAGAGAGCTAATAGTTCTAAGCTTATTTTGAACAACTGGTACACATAAAGACATCTCTATGCTCTGTGTTTAGTGTTTATCATGATGGTTTGGCTTCATACATGCTTTTTTGTCAAAAGCAAAATACAAATCCATTTTCATAATAAACTGTCAACCCTAAGAACAAAACAGTTTATATTGTAAATAGATAGTCCTAATTCTCATAATCGTTATACAGATACTTATTCCCTTGAGTACAGATAGCTTCATACAGCAACCACAATTTGATCCAGCAATTCAGTCATTAAATAAAGTGGTCTCTCTAAGTAAAACAGCAGTTGTGCTCATAGCAATAGCACTTAGACTTATATACTGTTTTATAGCACTTTACAGCCCTCTCTAAGTGGTTTACAAAGTCAGCATATTGCCCCCAACTGTCTGGATCCTCATTTTACTGACCTTAGTAGGAGGGAGGGCTGAGTCAACCTTGAGCTGGTGAGAATCAAACTGCTGGCAGCTAGCAGTCAGCAGAAGTAGCCTGTGGTACTGCATTCTAACCACTGCGCCACCACAGCTCTTATGAGCTTACCTCGTCTTTCTTTTACTTCATCATAAATGTGAGGTTTGGTCACAAAGTTAATTTTTCATCACTATCATAATTGCAAATAGTTGCTAAATAAGGACAAGCTGTATTAATTTTGTTTTAATCTCACATACTACTGTTGCAAATTAATATTCCCATTATCAAATATTTCCTGACAGAATACATTCTCCGCAAATTGTGTCTTCTGGATCTTCTTAAAGACATTTAAAACGCAAGGTTATTTTGAGATAAAATGGAAGTATAGGTTGAACAAGACAATTAGGATCAAAATTAGATTTAAAAAATAGTGCCATATATCTTGCACTAAACATGTTTGGAAAGTTATTATCATAAGTAGAGGAATGGCAAAATACAAAACGTACTTAGTTTTTTCCCTTTACTGAACTTTCTTCCTCATAGAGGACAGAAAATGATACTTCTTACCCTGTAAGACATCTACTTCTTTCTTCACTCCCTTCTTTTCAATCTATTGTTTACTAGACCATTTTTCTTCCTTTATATTATAACAAATAAATCATATTACATATTTTATTTTTATTTACTTATTCAATTTTTATAACCGCCCAACCCAACCAAGTGTCTCTTGGCTTATTATGGTCACTTGTGCCTTAGTCATCTCCCAAATGGATTACTGTAATGTACACTACATGGGACAGCCCTTGAAAAGTATCTGGAAATTTCAGCTGGTGCAAAATAAAGCAGCACAGGCAGTTATGTGTGTTTCTAGAACAACACACATTTCAGCTGTGCTCCATGTGCTATATCAGTATATTTCCAGATCCAATTCAGAACTGCTGGAAGATGAATTATGCACAATAAACCCCACAGGTTCTAAAGAAACAGGAGGCGAGGCCATCAGGTGCACTATGCAATAAATGGCTAGATGGTCAAGCTAGACACCATTCTGAATGCATATATTTCCCCAATTTTGATTGGCAGAGCTAAGGCAAAAAGATGCTGACCAGTGGGGGATTACAGTCTGGTCTGAACTGGCCAGTCCATCCCGACTTTCTTTTATGGTGCATCTACCAGAATGGGAGATAACCAGACAACATGGAGCATGGAGTAAACAGAAGGAGGGAGGCCTGGAAGCATATTGTCAAGCAGCCCCTCTATCCTGACGTTGCTACTGCAATGCTAAGCAGACATAGAATGCTGTCTTATACACATCAGGCTGTTCCACCTGTCAAATCCAAACAGGACTCTGTCCGATTGCTTGGAAAACAAATATTATACCACTGAGTTATGTGCCAGAAGTTTTAAGACTGTGGTCTGAAGTTAATTGAATAATGGTCTAAGAAAGGTTACAAGATGCTGCACAGCTTGTGGCCTCTAGTTGTTTCAGATTTTAGCAACATTTTCCTGTTGCCTGAGGCGTTCCTATAAGTATGGGGAATGATGTTGCATTTTTCCTTGCTTTATGAATGAATGGCATTGATAGGAATTTTGATAGAATAGGAGCAGGAAGTGGGGCAGGTATTTTGTTATTTGCAGCATGCAACAGGTAGGCATAGAACTAAAAGTAACTTGCAAGCTCTATGGTTACTTCAGAGAAGCTTATACTGTAGATCATATTTATATTATGAAGGAATATTTAAACTTACATACAGGATATACAAAACTGATTAAGAATACTGGATAAGACCAAAATAGAAATTATTCATACTAAAAAAAAAAACAAATTGCAAACTCCCATTAAGATACATGGAGTTGCCACACAGTTAAGATACATGGAGACCTTGTCTGATTCGTCTCATTTTCCAAGTCTCTGGTGGTTTGTTGAAGACAACAGTACAGTGTGTTGATCATATCTATTCATAGTTACTTCAGAATTACACTCATGGGGTTGATTAGCTTTTCTCCATATGCTTATTTCTTTCACAATTATTTACTGTATAGCGTGGGTTTGTTCCCATTATTCACATCCATGTCCCAAAGACAATGTTGGGTAGAGTGTTTTTAAACAAGGTGCGTGTATTGTAATTTGTCACCATTTCCTGTTTTATAATAGTTTTCCTGCTGAAAATTAAAATGTAGCTGCTTTCTGGCTCCCATTCCAGTTACCAGCTTCAGCTCCTCGTGTATATATATTGACCTGTAACTAATAGCCCTGACTGAACTAAACATGCAAGGATTCTAAATAAGTTTACTCAATCAGGTCTCCTAGCAAGTGTTGGAGAAGAGTTTCAGGTATAAATACCCTAAGGGCCCATTGTAGCTTCTGATTCACTGTATTATTGTCTCAACTGCTCAGTTCCAAAGGGGATTTTTACCCAAGGAAATAAATTCTAAGTAGCCTTTTCAAGGAAGCTGAGGGGAGGGAGGTGTTCCAAGAAGACAAACCATGGTGAGGTCCTCTAGCATGATACTACCTGATTTATGTAAGGTAACTGAATAATTGTCAAAACTGCTATAAATAAAAGTTTATATCAAGGTGCAGTATTCTCCTGAAACCCTTCACAGGCTCTTCTCATGTCATGGTAAGCAGGAGGTACACTTGAGCCTCTCACTTTTAGTCCAAATTCTGATATTCACTTTGGTTTTTAGTTTTTTTTATCATTAGCTAATTTATTGGTTGATGATTTTGGAAAGGTACTCTCCTACTGTAACTCCTCGTTATAGATATGGAACAGTTGCAAGTCAATAAACACATCAGGAAATTACAGACAAATCAAAGCCATGCTTTCCTTGAGTAGTTAACCAAAAATTTAAAAATAATGAGGGCCAGACATCTGTGGAACGATCATTCATGTTTCTTTATATCAAAAGCATTTGGTAGTGACTGATTCAGATCTAATGGAAATTTCTTGGGTAGATATAAGTCTCCTTTCCAAAGTTTTACTCTTCAGAGGAATAGTTTCTGACAGTAATTCCTATTGAGAAAGCAATGCAGTACTAAAGGTATCCTATATAAGGCTCTTTTTGGAATGTCCTCTCCAGAGAAACTCTGGTAACACAACTGTATTGGTATTTCAAGTGAAACAAGCCAATTTTATTTTCCTCTTGTTTTTATTTCTGTGTCCATTTTTTGATTGTTTTTGTATTATGTTTGCTTTATGGTTTTATACTGGGATATCGATTTTTATCTTATTTTGTTTTGTTTGTGGTTTTAATTTTTTGTAAGCAGTCTTAAGGATTTTTGAAGGACAAATTATAAATGGAATGAAAAAAAATCAATTTCCTCAGTGTTAGGATCTCAATCCAAATGGACTTCTTCTGTTCCAAAATTGCATTTTAAACTTTGAACAAAACAGAGAGCACTCTAATTATTGATTTCTCATTCTGTCATTTATTTCTGCTCTTATATTAAAGCCAAAGAAGCTATAACCAGCTCTTGTAGAATTGCCTGCAGTGGGGTTTTTTTTTTACATTTGTAAAAAAATGTATCATTTTTAAAATTTTTAATAACTGACTCAAATCAATTATTAATATTTGTCTTGTATTAAAATTGACAGAGTTATAAGCAATTTCACTTTGGGGTTTATATTTTCACGGAATGGAAAATAGTGCAGATTAAGATCAGTAGCATCAACTAAATGATGGATAGAGATAATTTCCTTCTTCCTTTTTTCTTTCTTTCCAACTATGCAGCTGCTACCTTTATGGAACACTGGAAGAGAAAACAGATGCGTCTGAATTACAAATGGGATCTTACTGGTTTTGAAGAAGAAGAAGTATGTTAATTCTTTTATGTGCTGTTTCATTGGTTGTTACTTTAGCTAAGTGATCTTTAATTTTCAGCCAGTGACCCATTGGAATGGAAAATCCTGCACATAACCATTTCTAAATTTGGGAAGGGTGTGTTAGTTTCAGTCTTGTTACCATGGAAGCCTGAAGCCTTGGCTGGAGAATGAAGGTTACACCTAGTAATGTGGGCATTAAAACATATATAGCTCAAGAATTATTCCCTTGATGTAGAAACTATAAAATGTGAACATACTCATAATTTGTTCAGTTTTAAAGATACAGTTGCCATGATTACAGAAGTTTACAATTAACAAATGTATTCTCTGTATGAGTTCAAAATTAAATATTGTTTCTGTCTAGCATATTGAGTGGAGACTGGAACTATTAACTTATATTTAAAAAGGGGAAATGGTTGTCTTATCTTTACATTTTAAAAATGTTTTATTTCCCAATTCTATTCGAAATTTAAGATTCCCAGGAAATAGTTTGTACACATTTGTGTTTACAATGCCATTTAAATTAAAAGAAGGTTAATCAGTCATTTAGTTTTAATTGTAAATCTGTATTTACAAAGTAATGTACTGACCTGACAAATTTAAAATATCCTATCAGATGTCTAATTCTGTGTTAGTCAAATGTCAAATTCAGTATTCAACCAAATAAATGTCTTACTAACTATAAGTAGAAAGTATTCAACCAAATAAATGTCTTACTAACTGTAAGTAGAAAGCCCTGGATCTCTTTGATAGATTAGGTGGATTTTGCTCATATTCAATCTTAGGACTTTATAATATATTTATTAAACAGAACACTAAGAGTAGTACTGTTATAGGAAAAGAAGATAGAGTACAATGAACAGCCATTCTTTCTCTTGCAACAATTGTTCCACTTCCACGAATCTCCTACCCACATCAAGTTTATGTTTTCTAATTTTATTTTGAGACTACGTAGCCACAAGGAAAAAGGAAATTACCCACCTCTCAAGCTGTCAACAGAAAGTGCTTCTTCTATCAGAAGCTCTAAAACTGATGAATAGGTTTTGCTTATAAAAACCTAAAGATGATCAGTCCATTCAGTCTGTCTTCTTCTAATAGTATTTATGTATTTGATTTGTATCCCACCTTTATTACTTTATAGTAGCTCAAGGTGGCGAACATACATAATACTCCTTCCTCCTCCTATTCCCCCCCCCCCACAACAACAACCCTGTGAGGTGGATTGGGCTGAGAGAGAGTGACTGGCTCAAGGTCACTTTCATGCCGAAGGCGGGACTTGAATTCACAGTCTCCTCGTTTTTAGCCCAGCCTCTTAACTACTGCACCAAATTGGCTATAAGTATAACCATATAAGTTATAGCTAATTATATTGAATTAATATTTTTCACTTTTAATGGATTAATCAGTTAATTTTGAATATTTTCATAAACACATACTGGAGAAAATTAAGCTGTTTTCATTTTTTAATGATGCACATGTGTGTGTCAGTGGAAGGGACCTCCCCCTTTTTCAGTAAGGATTATCATGTGTATTTTTAAAGTCATTTTACAAATATATATAACTTTCTATGAAGAGTGTTGCTCAATTAATTAAAACATTATTTTTCTTGAGCAGAAATATATTAAATAATGCATATGTCTCATTACTATATTACATATTACAACTGATTTCATTAAAAAAAAATCTTCAATAGCAATTAATTGTTCTACGTCTATGATTTCATTTGATCTTTGACCCAAAGCATTAACACAATGACATGTTAAAGTTGAAATCTCAGTGCTAGGATGGTATCATAGACACCATAAGACAACTGTTCTTTTATTTTTGGTATCTTGTTGTTAGCTGTTGGAAGGATTAACTGTATCCTTGTAGTAGGAAATATCTTTCAGGATTATGTTCATTGTTCCCTGTAGTGATAGCAGTAACCTGAGACAACTGCTGATAATAGAATGTATTTTATTCTTCACTTAACGTATTCATCTTAATTCAGTCCTGTGATCAAAACACTTGAATATGCACTCAAATCCTATTGAAGAAATGAATCTCTAATATATCAGAATAATGCCATATGGGGGTTATTTGAAATTGTTATTCCAATAATAATTATATAAGAGGACAATGCACCCCATGTGTTCAGTTGCTTGATACCAACAGAGTTCTGGACCATAATGTTATTCAGTCTTTCTGGATGTTGAGTAACTGTGTGTTTTCATGCTGATACTTCCATAAAATAAATACAACAGAAGACCAACCCATCCCACACCCCATGGATGTACCCCTATGTACCCCCTAATTCTTATGAGTGCCCACATTCACACAAATAAAAATAATTGTATCAAGAATACAGTTTGCAACAGTGAAGTAATTTTAATTTTTATGTTTTTTGTGTTTTTTATGGTTTCCTGAAGGAGGCAGTCAAGGTTTGGCATTTTTGTTTTGTTTTTTTGTTTTTTTATAATTTCTTGTAACTTTTTCTCTATCTGGTAGTGAAAGATGCATTTCGATCTCCTCTCATTTTCCCCCAGCATCTGTCTGTCTTCAGAATTTCCAGTGCAAATTATTCTTTCCTCTTTTATAATATTCTCAAATAGGGCTTTTTCATATCCATCTAGTCTCAGTCCAATGAACTTTTTAAAATAATCTCTAAATCTTTCACCTATTTCATTCTTTTCATTTCTGATTCTTTTCCACACATTTTCTCTGTATGTATGACTAAACTGAAATTACAAATTATTAATTTTAATTAACGGAACTGAAATTACCTTTTTTGTTAAGATCAAAGTCATATAGAGAGGAGAATCCCTTAATTGCACATTTAAACTCAGAACAACTTAGTGTCAACCCTTTGCCCCATATATGACATGCTGTCTGTTCAAATATGGCCTCTTTGCAATGCCCAGAAAGGCCCATTCAGGTTTAAAACAGATTACAAAATGAAGACTCCTTTCAGCTGATAGTTGATAACTTCATGAACATGTCCATGTAGTTGTCTTGGCAAATATATATAGATATAGATATAGATATAGATATAGATATAGATATAGATATAGATATAGATAGATATAATGCATTTATATATATATAAATAATGCAAACCAGCATGTTGTGAATCTGAAGTCCTTTACTGCTATAGAAAATGGGTTCAAGGCTGTGACACTACCCAAATTAGTATGTCTTTTGGTGAAAGAACAACTTCAATCTAGCAGCATCTTCACCGTTAAGGTAAAGAGAGCACATAGTCTTAAGCTACAATATTTTCAGACAGCTAGTGATAAAGGAAGACTTTTAAATTAAGTTATAGCAGAACTTTACTCAGATTTGTTGTAATAATTTGAAGTAATATCCAATAGGTCTCATAGTTCCCTGTACGTATGGCTTATTTACAGGATCACCCAAGAGCTGAGTATGAAGCAAAAGTATTAGAAAAATCTCTCAAGAAAGAATACAGAAATAAGGAGGTAAGATAAAAAATTCTGTTTGTTTTAAAAAATTATGTAATAAAAATTAAGTACAAAACATTTGTTTTAAAAATCATAGCAAAGAGTCTTCACATTTATATTATTCATTGTAAGCAATTACTATTCTGATACTGTTACTGAATATAAAGAAATGAAATATCAAGAAAAAAGAAATGCAGTTAGCTTCAGAAGTGCTATGGAATAATACAGAGTACTCAGACATTTGTTCAAAGTCAGTGCAATTGTGAAAATACCAGGGACTAATTTTTTTAAACATATTAATTTTCACAATCACGCTGCCTTTGAATAAATGACTGACTGAATAATCTGTGTTACTCTAATTTTAGAGACATAATTTAGATTTTACTGTCAGAACGTAAAAACATTTAGAATTACCTGCCGTAAAGAGCCCATCACTTGTGATCCTTGTGAAGATTCTGGAACAGCAACCCAATGATACAATGGGTATCTTCTTTGAATGAGGTGATCACATAACTTTTAGATATTGAACTGAATTTCTTTTTATAGTACAGTAGCACAAAACACTGGGAAATTATTATTCTGAACCATGTTTCTAAAGTACTAAATGTAATCACATCTTGAAACAGAGATAATGTTTCATCAGACCGAACCAATATACTCCAATATTTGTTCTTTTAGTAGTTTAACAGGTGACTGCAACAATCTTCTTCAGTCTGACTCTTCTCCATATGAATGGATGTCAACTCCCAGATTTGTCAGGAATGGCCAGACTAGCTGAGGAATTGTGGAAACTGAAGTTGAGATCTCTCCACCTGGATATGTTCAGTTTTCAAAAAGCTAAATTAGAGGAAGCCTTCTATTCAGAATCATATTGGCTCTGATTAGGATCATGTGAATTTATCTCTTTCAGTTTTTCAGGCACTAGTTTGTGGCATCCCATTCAGAGGTGGTATTCAGCAGGTTCTGACCAGTTCTAGAAAACCGGTAGTGGAAATTTCGAGTAGTTCGGAAAACCGGTAAATACCACCTCTGACTAGCCCCGCCCCATCTATTCTCTGCCTCCTGAGTCCCAGCTGATCTGGAGGAAATGGGGATTTTGCAGTAATCTTCCCCTGGAGTGGAGAGGGAATGGAGATTTTTACAGTATCTTTCCTTGCCATGCTCACCAAGCCACGCCCACAAAACCTGTAGTAAAAAATTTTGAATACCACCACTGGTCCCATTCCTATGTCAGCTTGTGAACACTTAAAAAAAACACCCTCTAAATGAAAATGCATATTAATAATTGTGAATAAAGTGTAGGCACATAAGAATTGGAAAATTATATGACAACATTCAGAGAATGAAAAATCTGAAGGATTACAGTATAATAATCTGGTTCATTCATAGGTTTGGAAAGTGCAAATTAGGTCAAATTTCTCCACCAGTTCTCATACCTATAGTACAGGTAATAATCATCATGATTATCCTGAATAGATTTGTCTATTTGTTCTGCAAATAGATTTGCTCTGTTGAAATCATCCTAGTTGAGAGTCATCATAATTACATTTTGTGATAGAATATTTTATAATTTGGCTCCTTAAGGATAAATGAAATAAAATGTTTTTCAATCTCCCACCATTTACTTTCACTTAGCAACTTTGAGTTCTAATAGTTTGAGACCAAATAGCCATTTTGTATCCATTTTTCTGTATAACATGCTTTTATATATTTCTGTTATTTTCTCCCTTACTGCTATATAAGATATATCTAATGTTGAACCTTTTTCTCAGTTGCTCTGAGCTTTTAATTATTTTGTTTGTATTTGTCTGAATCTTTTTCAGTCCATAATATCCTTTTTAAAGTGTGCTAAGCGGAATTTCTATAAATTTTTATAAAGTACTGCAGTGTCAGCAGTTTTATTTTAGATTCGACTGCCTATATAAAAATCATGCCCAGAACTGATTTGGCTACTCTGTGAAGAATTGGAGGCATGAAAGAGCAATCAGTGAGGTCTACTACTAAGTAAATATAAGGAAGAATCCAGCACAACAAAGATAGGCCAGGGTAATTAAAGTCAATATTTTTAGACAAAAAAATGCTATCCAAATGCTCTAGTATAAATATAGAAAGTTGTGCTGTGTTATAAAAGGAAAGATCTTCTTCCAAATAAATAAACAGGAAGTAGAAAGTAATAGGAAAGCAACTGAGTTTGTGGGCTTCTCCAGATTACTTAGAATGAAATCCAAAAGGATATTTTCAAACGTAGTAAGGAGCAACAAACTGGTAAATACTAATAAATAATGAACGGACCACTTTGGAGTAAAAAAAAATTAACTACATGATTGACTGAGGGGGACTGGACTGATATAACTAATTAGATAATTGATGATAAAAACAACAGTGTGCAAAAATGTTGAAATAGTTCAATCTCAGAAATTTATATAGAAAGTCCTTTTTAAAAAAAAGCCAGTATTGTTATTGGTTGGGTTATTCATATTAGAGTATGCTAAACTCAATGTATCTCAAAAAGGATAGTGGGCAGTAAGAGGAAATGGACTGATTTTCTGGATTTCTTTACATTTTGCTTTTCATTTACTTATACTAAATAATTTGTTTCACCTGCAAATACAGTCATCTCATTGTTCATTGTTAACCCAGATCATTGGTGAAAAAATTAAATACCATTGAATTGTTTTTATGCCATCTAGTCCTTTTTTACTCTTAGCAACCAGGTAGATTTTCTCCATGATGATCTATCAGCTGTTTTACATAATAATGTAGATATAAAATGCTTACACGATATGTGACCACTGTTGTTTTTAATTTGCCAGTTAATTGTGGTTATTTTTCTCAAGTTTTACTTTGAATTTTCTCTTTTATAGTGATTTATATTATGTCAGAAAATTTAACATCAGCACATAGGCATCTTTTATTTGTTTTTAAATTCTACCATATCCATATTCTATTTAGGGATTTATTTATTTACATATGTCAGTGCTTTGTAACAGCCATATTGGATTATCCTTTTCTGTTTCCTTCAAATGCCATCAGAAGGGCCAGCAATTGCCAGAAGAGGCAGCTAACAAATGGCGACAAAGAGTTAAGAGAGTCATGGCTGGGATGAAATTGGTACATTTCATTACCATTTGTGGAAACTTTCTGAATATCTATAAAACACAATTTTCTTTTATTTATTTTATAATATTCACATATATGGCTTTCCCCTTCTCCTGTCTTTATCACTCTTGTTAAGATGGGTTTTTGCCTTTGTTTGGAATGACACTGCATGGTTGATCTTTCATTCTAGTTGATGTGCAGCTTTTACAACACTGCACATGCCTTATGCTTGATGGGATTTCCTGGCTTCCTTTTTTTTTTTTTTTTTTTGAGAGAGAGAGAATGAGAATGAGAGAAATAAAGAACATGCATGTGATGTGCATGTAACATTAAGTGCTTATTTTTCTTATAGGAGCTTTATGGAGTTGTACATGATCATTTCCTAATCCTTAATTTTACATATAAAGTGGTCCTAAAGATGGTGTATATAGAACTAAATCGATCACCCAATGAACCATGAACATATTTATTTAGCAAATATATATAGCTGCCCATCTTATAAAAAAGGATCTGGGTGGCATGGAAACATAATAAAAATTAAAAACCATTATGAACAAACAGAATACTAATACTGTACACAGAACTGATTCCTACATATATACAACCACTTGGTTTTCAATTCTTTCCCCTCACTTTCATTAATTTAAGTTTACAACAGGATAATAGGATGAAGAAGAGAATCAAGAAGGTGCCTCTATTCCCTCCTTTATAACCCCATAAAAGTACAGAAGAGATCAGACAAAACTATGTGGCAGACAAATCCGGTTTAGAAAGCATGAAACCCACTATGCTATTCCTTCAAGTTTCATATCATTGGCATCTTTTCTTCTTTGTGACTTTGCAAATATAATTCCATATGTACATACCCATCATCCTATTTTATGTGGTTGCAGTCCATATTCTTTGGCCCATATGTCTTTTGAAAAATACATAATAAAATATGTGCCATTTTTCATGCTTGCCAGACTCCGGTGTCCCTAAACTTTACTATCCTTGAGAGAACAGCTACTCTGTGTTCACATGGGAAAAGCAGAGGGGATGCTGCTAATTTACTTGCTTTCACTGTCATTCTATCATTCCTGTAAGTGATGACTTGGATATAAATTAAGCTTTCAGGAAATATTCTAATAATACTTTATTCTAAATGGAAAATTACATTGCATTTTTTTTAAAAAAACAATCTAAACAATGTCTGAAGGAAAACTGGACCAGTTTCCAAAATTAGTTTGGGCTAAATATGTTTTGACAGTCCTTCCAGAGAACTGTTTTGAAGAAGCTGCCTGGCCTTAAAACTGCATCTGTCCCGCATAAAAAAAAAAAAAAAACCATGTGTTAGCAAATGTTCTCCTATCCCTTTTCCCTCCACTTGACCTTGCATTTCCCCTTACATGAAAGAGCTGGGAAAACTCCATAATTGATGATGGGTCTGCAGAATGAAAAAGAATGAATAAGAATCCCATTGCCCAAATTGTTAGTGCTACATATAGCCTCAAATAGCCTCATCTACAAATTTGTTCTGTTTGAAGTAATTTGCAGACTGCCTGACTTAGCTGTAGCTTGATGAAAGCTTGTCAATTGACTGACACTCTTTTGTTTACTCTTTTTAGAATGTTTACCTCTGTTTATGTGTCTTTGCACTTTAATTGTGGTCTTGCCTATTCAAATTTTGATAACAAGCAAGAATCAAAAAGGCAACTTATTTAATTGCTATAATGAATTGCTTTGTTTTATGTCTTCTTTTGTGTGCTAGACTGAAAAAGAAAAACTGACATGGAAAGATCGTTTCCCAGCATACTTCACAAATTTTGTGAGCATTATTTTCATGGTAAGCATTATCTTGGAAACATTATTTTCATGGGCTAGTTGTCTTCTCAAAAATAGGGAAACTTTTCTTAAAGGAGGGAACAAACCTTTCCTTTATCTGTCTTGTTGGAAGTGCACATTTCATAATTTCCAGTACATTTGCATGGTGACAGTTTAGGGAGGGTTCCACTAAATGGTGCAAAAATTAATTAATTGGCTTGTGTTTTTCAAATAATACATTTTAAAAGTTTTAGCTCTATAATGAATAATAATAAAGCTTGTAATATTCTACTTGTATTTTCTTTCGCAGATACAGTATCTGTGCCCCTGTAACTATGCTATTTGAACACCATATTTTGCCAAACCTAATCTCTGAAGAGGAGTTTAGAGTCCACAAAAAAGTTATCACATTACTGAAATTTCACAAGAATTTAAAACTGATTAAGGGGAGCAACATAAGACATTATATTGCTTTGTTGAATTGACATTACCTTGACAACAGTTACTGGGAAAATCATAAGTCAGATCATCCAACGGGTTTGCAAGAAGGTGATTACTAGAGACCAAAAAGGCTTTATTAAAAATAGGTTATATCAGACTTTAAAAATTATACCACTTTAAAAAACACCCAAAATGACTATAGATCAGTAGACCAAGAGAATGCTGTGGATGTGGTGTACCCAGACTTAATGAGGCATTTGATAAAATTGGCCATAACCTCCTTCCTCATAAAATGGAATGATGTGGAATGGATGGTGCCATCATTATATGGATTTGCAGTTGGTTTCACAACTGTACCCAGTGCATGGTCTCTGTTCATTTTTATAAATGAGTTCAATAAAGGGAAAGAAGAGATGCTCAGCAAATTTGCAGATGACACAAGTCTGGGAGGATTGCTAACCCCTCAGAAGACAGGCTGAAAAGATAGGCTCAAGACTTAAACATTGGACTTTTTCCAACAAATATAGTTCCATGTCAAGAAACATAGGATTCTGCGTTTAGATAGGGAAAAAAAGATGTACATGTACAAGATAGGCTCAACAATAATACTTGGGAGAAAGAGCTATGTGTCTTGGTATACCACAGATTGAACATCAGTCAGCAGCATGCTGCAGCTACCAAGAAAGCTAATGTAATATTGGATGCATCAACAAAAGTATAATGTGAAGATTACAAGAAGTGACAGTTCCACTTTATACTTCATTGGTATACCACACATATAATACTTCATTCAGTTTTGATCATCACAATGCAAGAAGGATACTGAGGAACTGGGAAAAGTGTAGTGAAGAGCAAACAAATTTGGTGACGATCTGCAGCCTAACCATATGAACATCTAGATATGATTTAGTCTAAAGAACAGAAGGCTAAAGGGCACTTGATAGCTTTCCAATACTTCTAGTCCAAAACAGAAGGACTGTCACAGGAAGATGGTGTGGTTCTAAGAACCAATAGATGGAAGCATAATCATGGGTGCTCTATCACTGAATCTTCTCAAATAAAGATTGGCAACCACTTGGCTGGGGTGGTCTGAAAGGGAAGATTCCTGCCTTAGATAGAAAATTAAACTAGGAAGCCTCCAAGTTTTCTTACAACTTTATAAGTCTATGAATATAATTGCAGGGTTTTTACTAAATAGATAATAATGAACGAAGAGCATTCTGAATTCTGAAAAGCAGAATTCATAAGCAGAATCATTATTTTATGGCATTTTCTTTATTATTCTAACTATATTGTGTTTAACTTCAGAGCTGACATTTTTATTTAGTAGTATAGTACTATAGAAATGTTTAGTTTATCCATGTGGATTGTAACCATTTCCCTGTAAACCATATGGGAGCATGCAGCTTTTATAATATTATAATTGGCACCAGTAATTGAAACATTTCCATATGAACTACGTCAGGCCATAGTAATATTGTGAACCTAATCTTTTGATAACTGATTATGTCCTTTTCAGATCGGACTGACATTTGCTATTGTTTTTGGGGTTATTATATACCGAATCTCCACTGCAGCAGCTTTAGCAATCAGCTCCTCTCCAGGAGGCAGGTCAAATGTTAGAGTGACGGTCACAGCCACTGCAGTAATTATTAATCTGGTGGTGATAATAATCTTGGATGAAGTATATGGCTGCATAGCTAGATGGCTGACTCAGATCGGTAGGTACATATTCTCCCATTATTTGACTTAGAATTATGATTTTATTAAATGACCTGTCTAATGATTCAGCTTTGACTTTGCAAGCAAAATTACATAGGAACAAATCATGAGATAATAACATAAAAGGATTCTTGGCATTAAGGCAGTCACATCTTTCAGTAACTAATATTCGGTTTAATTTTAAGTGTGGAAATTATTTAAATTCATTTAGAGTCTTGTCACCTTGGTGAACCAATTTTTTTTTTAAAAAAACCAAATAACATGATTTATCTTCATTTCCAGTCACTGCTTACTTTAAGAATATAAATCAAGAAGTAAAAAATGGAGGGGTCCAGACTTTCTTTCAATATGCATTTTTTTATTGAAAGGGAAAATAATCAAGCCAGATTGACATTATACATACCACATTGTAGGGACGACTGTAGTGTATCGGGTCTGATCACATTATTCTAGGTACCATATTTTTCGGACTTTAAGACACATCGGTGTATAAGATGCACCAAAATTTCAAAAAGGTAAGTAAGAAAAAAAAGGTGTTTGCCCTCCCCAGCCCCCAGGAGCCCTCTGCAGGCCTCCCAAACCCTCTGCGCGCCCTGTTTTTTGCAAAAATGGGCCCTTTTTTTCCCCCATTTTTGCAAAAAACAGGGCACGTAGAGAGTTTGGAAGGCCTGCAGAGTGTTCCTGGGGGCTGGGGGAGAGCAAAAACGCCCCCATTTTTGCAAAAACACACCCCCTTTTTCGTGAAAAATGGGGCACGCAGAGGGTTTGGGAGGCCTTTTTGGGAGGGCGTTTTTGCCCTCCCCAGCCCCAGGAGCACTCTGCAGGCCTCCCAAACCCTCTGCGCATCCTGTTTTTGTGAAAAGCTGGCCCATTTTTTGCAAAAATGGGACAAGCAGGGCAGGGCTTCAGAAGGCCAAAAATTGCTGTATTTGGTGTATAAGACGCACCAACATTTCCACCCTTTTTTAGGGGGGGGGTGGAATACTCCAAAAAATACGGTAATTGCCAAGTGTAATCAGTTTCTAGTTCCACCTTTTTCTATGAAGACAAGACTCTATATTAACTGCCATAAATATCAGCCTGTGCAGTACTCATTGACTTGCAACTATTTGTTTAGCGACTGTTTGAAGTTACAATGGCACTGAAAAAGTGGCTTATGACCATTTTTTACACTTATGATCATTGCAGCATCCCCGTGATCACATGATCAAAATTCAGATGCTGAGCAACTAACATGTAATCATGACAGTTGCAATATCCCAGGGTCATGTGATCACCTACCTCCTGCAACCTTCTGACAGACAGAGTCAATGGGGAGGCCAGATTCAATTAACAATTGTGTTACTAACTTAACAACTGCAGGAATTTTGGCATTTCATCCGTTTGCATAAAATGTGGTCCTATGTCAAGGACTATCTGTATAATACTTAGTACTTTAGATTGATTTTCCAGTCACATTTGCATTAATCTCATTTACCTCAGAGGTTCCAAAAACAGACAAAAGTTTTGAAGAACGACTTATCTTCAAGGCCTTCCTTCTGAAATTCGTTAATGCTTACACTCCCATTTTCTACGTTGCTTTCTTCAAAGGCCGGTAAGTTGCATAGATTAATTAATTGCTTCATTAGTATTTTATGCTGTTCCAGAGCTCTTATTCAAACAGGGACAGCTCTTTAGAAGGATTGTCACTTGAGTTTCCCAGACTACACCTACCTCCAAATATTAAAATCATAAAGTTTAACTGAATTAATTAAGCTAGCATGGTAATTTCCCAATGTGTAATGTTGGTTATGTTTCTGTTAGGAGCACTTTTTCTATGCCCAACAGAAGCATGTTGGCATATCGGTGTACATTAAGAAGGGATATTGCTAAATACTAAGGCAAAATACACTTTCATTGGTTAAAATTTGAGTGTTTATTCAGATGTTCATGCTGTTTTAAGTTGTTAAAGATAGAAGCATTTACAAAAGTAAATGGCAGTCAGCAGCTTTACTGTTTAGAATCATCAAATTGAGGAATATTATTGAAAATACCACAAAGGGAAGTTTCCACAAGCAAAGAAAAGGTTGGGAGAAACCGTCTTATTGATACATTCCCTTGCATTGCTTCTCTTCTGAGGGCTCTTAGGTCAAAAGCAGTACTAAAGCAGTGTCCAGAACTACAATCAGATAGTGGAAATAGCAAATTCAGGCTTTTTAAAACTCTATTCAGAAATATTTAATCCAATAAATTAATTAATTGGATTTTCCTCATCATATCTTCTTTCCTTTAATGATGTTTAACACTAATAAACACAGCTCAAAGGCAAATTACTTCTTTGAAAATGTTCCTGATAACGTTTGTGTTGATGAAAGTTGAATATATTCCTGGTAGCTAGATTTGCTTTTCTGTATTTTTTTTCTCTGAAACTAAATTAATCATCCATTGTACAATGTGTATCTGTGTAGAATGATGTAAAATATAGCATGAAGTGTCTGAAAGTTTGTGTCTGTAACACAAATTCTAACCATTGTTTCCAAATTATCTAGATTTGTTGGACGCCCAGGAGATTATGTCTACATTTTTCATTCTTTTCGAATGGAAGAGGTAACTGTAGCTTATTTTATTCATGTGTCTAGAAAACATCTATGAACATTCTGTTGGGGTATACGGATGTCCCCAGTCTTTTTATTTTGTTTTTCCCTTTCTTTTAGTGTGCTCCTGGTGGTTGCCTGATGGAATTGTGTATACAACTTAGCATTATAATGTTGGGCAAACAGCTGATTCAGAATAATCTTTTTGAAATTGGCATCCCGTAAGTAGTAAGGAATAAGAAAATATTAGCTATCTTCTCAAAATGATTGCATATCATCTCTTGATAAATTAAATATATTTTTTCTTGTTTGATATCCATGCCGTGCAAGAAAATGTTAGACTGAGGATACACCAAAGTTTAAAATAGTGTGCATTTGTTTTGTTACTTTATTATTTGTTTTGTTAGTTCAATACATTTTGTTTTTATCTGAAGGACTATTTTTTCTCTGCAAACAATTTATTTATAAATTATTTATTTGCAATAATTTAAATTCAGGATTCTTTTCCTTATCAGTAAACCTTGTAGTCTGCATTTCAACAGTGTTTTCCCAAAGTATTGTATATGTCACTTAATAAATAAGAATTATGAGTCTACAGTGGGGCCAACTTGGTAGATAAATAGAATAGTACAAAATACTCAAATTAATATAGTATATAGTATTAATATAATAGTACATAGAATAAAAGTCTTCATAGTTTTTCAGTGGCCACATTTTTTAACAATTTGATCAGGATTGTAGAGGCTGGTAGAGATTATAATAGACCAGTAATTAAATCTTCATGTCCCTTTAGGAGATAGTAAAGAATTTTTTTCATTTATTTTGCCAGAATCTTTCAGACATTTGAATCTCTTATTTTCCCAATAAAACTAGAAAGCCTACTGGCCCTGTGAACTAACATAATTTGCTTTAAACAGAAAAGAACTTCAGGAAAACCTTTATAGCGGAGATGACATAAAAACAGTAATGGGGTGCATATGAAACTTTTGGGCATTTTCACAGGATTCTTTGGACACCATTTCAGATACTAGAGAATTCAAACTAGAAGACTGTCATTCAGCTACAAATAATTTGGGAATTTGCTTTATTTCCCAAAGAACGTCATAAAATATTGAAAATGGAAAACCAAATCTCTAAATGTTTTTATAAAACATATAAGACATCTAAAGCAATTTTACTTTTCCCCTTTCTTGTTAGGAAAATGAAAAAATTTATAAGGTACTTGAAGCTGAAACGACAAAGTCCTGTGGATTATGAAGAGCATTTGAAGAAAAAACAGCATTATGAAGTAGACTATAATCTGGAACCTTTTGCAGGACTTACTCCAGAATACATGGAAATGAGTAAGACTTAAACCATTTAAAGTGGGGTTTCCTAGTGATTACTTGTTTTGCAGTGAACCAGAGTTTTATCCATTCAATGATTTATTATCCATTCAAAATGGATGTTCCAAACATGCTTTTTCAAGAGGCAACTAGACTTTCTGGTTTTTCTTTGAAGACGTTTCGCTTCTCATCCAAGAAATTTCTTCAGCTCAGAATTTACATTCAAAATGGATTTATTTATCCAGCCTGACTTTTATTATATTTTCCAGTTTTCCAGTTCTTTCTTTTTTCAAATTCTTTTTTCATGCAGTTATGATTCAATAACAAAAGATATATTATCCCTTTAAGAAGTTTCTATTATTTGAAGTTTAATACATATAATTTCCAGAGGAGTAACTTTGATAAGAAAGTTCAGCCCTCATATACTTAATCCATTCCCGAGTGGATTATAGTAGTGTTCTACAAGCAGCCTTTGAAAAGCATTCAGAAGTTTCAAGCACTGCAAAATGCAGCACCCTGGGCAATTATTTATGCCACTGGATTAGTGCATGTTACACCTGTGCTCTAAGAGCTGCATTGGCTGCCAGTTTGCTTCTGAGTTCAATTAAAAGCGCTGGTTATGACCTCTAAAGGCCTACATGGGGATATCCCAAAGGTGCTTTTTCAAGAGGCAACTGGACTGTTTGGTTTTTCTTTGAAGATGTTTCACTTCTCATCCAAGAAGCTTCTTCAGCTCTGACTGGATAGTGGGAAGGAAAGGATTTATACTCCTTACAGACAGTTGGTCACTTGCATTCTTTTAGAGAGTCATTGAGGCCACCTGGAGGTTTGCCTGTGTCATCAGGGTCATCTGAGTGGTGCAAATGGGTGTCGAGCCTTCTTGGAACTGTTGAAAGTACTGTGTTGTAGACTGGAGATAGATGATGTCATATTCCTCCCCATCTGTTGAGGGAGGGCTGTTCTTCTTGGATGAGAAGCAAAACGTCTTCAAAGAAAAGTCAGAAAGTTCAGTTGCCTCTTGAAAAAGCACCTTTGGGACAATCATGACTTGAATGACTGAGAATCTCCATAGACATCTACATGGGGATGGGTTATTTGAGGGACAGTTACATTTACCCATCTCATCAGGAACATATTTTGGATCCCACTTGCTAAGGAGCTTCATCTGAGCAGAACTAGGAAGAGAACCATGACACCCAGTCTTTGGGACATCATCTCCCCTGCAGTGAGATTGACCCCAACCCTAATGGCCTTCTGAAAACTCGGTTTTGTCATGGAGCCTGGAGATTCCATGGGAATGTGGAGCCCGCAAAACAGTTGTATTGTGTATAAGATTTTGATTGAATCTCCCATGTTTTCTGTTTATGGCTTTTAATTGCTCTAATTGTTTTTAATGGTTTCATTGTTTTGATAATCTTTATTTTTGCTACTTTAAATATATGGGCTGCCCAGAGTCACGTATGTGAATTAAACAAAGTAAATAAATATATAAATAAATCAAGTTAATTTATTAAAGCAAAGACAACAAAGAATCTTGTAGCTCATTAAAAGTAAAAAAAATGTACTAGGTTTCACCCTTTAATGGACTTACATCAACTACATGAAATACATTCTTTTCTCTTGTGTTAGGAATATATGTAGATTCATAGTTTAGTGGACCTTTGGGTGGGAGAATTGTAAAAAGTGAAAGCAGCATGCAGTTAAATAAAAGAAATGTTGTCCAGAAATGCTCCCACACAATACGTACATTTATATAAAATATCCAGTAGCAAATAGTATAACATATCAAACACTTAAGAAAATACATATAATTTGTGCATAGTATGCATTCACTGATTTGCAGCGAGGTTGTGTTTTGGAAAGCAAATTCTACAAGAGTAAAATTGGTAATTGACAGTAGTTTCTTTTTAAATTTTCAGTAATCCAGTTTGGTTTTGTAACCCTGTTTGTTGCATCCTTCCCATTGGCTCCCTTGTTTGCATTGCTAAACAATATCATCGAGATACGTCTGGATGCAAAGAAATTTGTCACTGAGCTTAGGAGGCCAGTTGCAGTGAGAGCTAAAGATATAGGTAAGTTAGTAATTATTTATACAATATCTATATATAATTTATAAACATTGATTAGAAAACAGAAAATTGAGTCCCCTGGTTTGTGAAAGATAACCACTGAATACCAGCTAGTGTTCTTTATTTGTGGCAGTCTGACCTCAATAGCTAGGAAAGCTATTTTATTCTTCTCTTGATTTCTATCCTGCTTTTATTTTTTTACTAAAGGAATACAAGTAGTTATAGATATTTGAAATACCAGTGTAAATAGCATGAAAAATTGAACAAAACTTTGTTTCTCCTTAAGGGTTTCACTTCATATGCCAGCAGGCATAGAAAGAAGGGGCCATTTGACATCCTTAGGAAAAGCATTCTAAACTTCACTGTAACTACCAAAGAATCTTGTTCCTTGGTTCTACACCCAGCCCCTTCAATAGGCTAAAGACTTACCGTAAATGAAAAGCACAAACATAGCTTGTATCAAATTCATCATTTACCAGTAGAACTGAATCATCCTTCGATGCATCCACTAACCTGTTCAAACAGTAAAAGATTCTCAAAAGGCAAAACTGGAATGCAGAAAAGAGATGGGGGGAAAAAATGACAAGAAGTTCCATGTTACCCCATAGAATGGAATGTAGAAATGAGGGAATATAATCTAGAAATAAGTGAATTTACAAACTGAGTAGATATTAAAAGAAATATATATTTCGCTTTGAACTTTGAACTAAAGAAAGAATGAAAAAAAGTTAATACCATTGCTATTATTTATTTATAATATCTAAATTATGTATTATATATGATATATTAGTGATCTATGCATTAACAGCCCAGATCCTAGGAAGCAATTACAGGTAGTCCTCAATTTACGACCACAATTGAGCCCAACATTTCTGTTGTTAGGCAAAACATTTGTTAATGTTTTGAAACAGAAACTGGACATTCATCTGTCAGAGATGCTTTAGTAGTAGAACCTGCACTTAACAGTGGATTGAACTAAATCAAGAGTTTTCAGACTTTTTCAGGCTGTGGAAAAAAGATCCTGGAATCTCTGATCAAAGGACAAAATTATAAGAATAGAACACTGGCTGCATTTGAGTATAATTTTACTTTTGCCTCTACTCTCTCACAGAACCCCAACCTTAGGGGTTCTCTGGAACAGAGTCTGAAAACCCCTGGTCTAGATGACCTTGATAGTCCTTTCCAAATCTGTGATTCTATGATCAGAGTTTGCGATAATACTCTTGAATAGCTTGCTTGTCTTTTCCCAGGGATATGGTATAATATCCTCAGAGGGGTAGGAAAATTGGCTGTGATCATAAATGTAAGTATTTTTTTTTCTGTAAATAATATATGAAGACAAAATTCTCATTTCTGTTCAATTATTTTAAAGGTTTACTTCCCTACTAAAGTAGGAAAGTGTGAATATACCTAGAAAAGCAGCCATAAAGATGGGCTGACATTTGGACTAACCTCAGCTCCATTTCCCAGATGGCTCTGCCTCCGTCTTTTATATTTTCCTCCCAGATGGCTCCAGCTTCCTCTTTTGTCAAGAGGCCCATCTTTTCTATCCATTACCTCCTTTTCCTTTATCCCTTGACTTCATTTCCTATTTCCTGTATGGTCTAGAGCAGCTCCGTGGCAGTATGGCCTCAAAACCTACCGATCCTTCACTGTCTGTCCATTGTGTTTCCAGACTGTAGCTTTCTCACTTCTGAATGCCAACATTAATTCTTCTCTTCTTTTGCTCCCAGGCTTGTTAAGCATGGCATTCTTTGTCCTTTTTCTATTAGGTCAAAAGGGAAAGTTGGAATTGGTTTTTAGATGTTGATGTCATAAAGACTTTTCCTAAAACAAAAGGGGGCAACTAGCAGGCATCTAATCTGTAGCTCTGAGATCACCCCACAGAAAATGACAGAAAAGCCAAATGGCCAAATTTTGGCAACACAATTTTCAGCTAAAAAAAGGAGAAAATGAAATTATACCAGGTCCCCAATAAAGAGTCCCAAATTGCCTTAAGCATCACTGGGAAAACCTGCAGCCTGGCAGGCAGGCCCACAGGTTAAGAAAAAGTGGTATACACTAAAGCTAAAGAAAATTGTGCAATTCTATGGATCCATATGGAAAAGATCGACTGTAATTCTAAATACTAAGCTTTCTACTCTCTTCTGAGTAATAAGTAAGGTATCTGCCCTGCAAACAACAGCTAAACATTTCATGTAAGATTTATCTTAATTGTGAAAGATAAAAAATATTAAATTGCTGGATCAAAATAAAACTCTTTGTCCACTATTTGTCAAGTTTTTGTGCATTTGATAAAACCTCTAAATGGAGCATTTGCACAAAAAGCGCACAATTTCAAAACAATGAACGCAAAGTGATTCAAAATTCCCCCAGCATGCAGAATAACGAAAGCAACATTAGTGCCCCAGATAGTATTTGTTTATTGATAGTGGGTGGGGGGGGAGGCATGTGTGTACCAAAAATATTGGGAATGGCAATATGGCAAACTTGGGCCTGTTATCTGAAAGAATTTTGCAATTAAAAGGATGTCAGTGTTGAAATGCCTATAGCCATTTTTCCACCTGATGTTAGCTTTCCCAGTCAATTTCAGCTACTCAATTTGCTGCACTTTTAGAGTTTGAATCTCAAACCACCATGGTGCAAAGAAAACCATTAGCCTGCTGATGAGATGATACGGTTTGAACCAGACTGATTCATGGCAGTCCCTGCTGGGGGAGGAGACAATTGAGTCTGGTTATGTAATGAAATGTGGCCTGAATATCTGCGCTCATTCTTTACTTTTGTGGCTTAGGCATTTGTGATCTCATTCACATCTGACTTCATTCCACGCCTCGTGTACCTGTATATGTACAGTGAGAGTGGCACCATGCATGGCTTCGTGAACCATACACTATCCTATTTTAATGTCAGCGATTTTCAAAGAGGAACTGCTCCAAAAGATGATATGGAGCTTGGCTATCCAGTGCAAATATGCAGGTATATAATGACATTTTTTTGAAACAGCTTTCCCTAGACCACACCTAGGAAATTTATTTGTCGTGCATTTCATCAAGTCTCTTTTAATTTTCGGTGTGTTTATTCTAGGCTGTATATATTGAAAAGTGCCATCTTTCTGTAGATAAGGCTGCCTTCCCACCTTTGCTTCTATGCCAGCACCATTCCCCCAGTCCAATTACGTAATGTCAAAGGCACAAAAATTCAGCCACTAGAACCCCATTTTTGAAAAGACAAATTATTTCCCTTGACAGTTTTATGAGTTACTGTCTAGACCAGGGGTCTCCAAACTTGGCGACTTTAAGACTTGAGGACTTCAACTCCCAGAATTCCTCAGCCAGCATGATTGGCTGAAAATTTCTGGAAGTTGAAATCCACAAATCTTAAAAGTTGCTAAGTTTGGAGACCCCTGGTATTTCTCTGATCCATTATGATTAGTTTGGATCTACTGTCTGACAACATATGTCTCTCTCACACACACACAGACACATAATAAAATAAAGCTATCCTAAATCACCTCATGAATGAATCAAGCATATTAGCAGATATGTATCTTTAAAAACCTAGTAGCCATATGCTCCTTAATCTAATATTCTTTTGACACAGAAATCTACAATAGATTTTTTTTTTAATGGAAAGTTGTTGCTGCTCTTTATTCCCTTCTGCTTCTAATTTCCATTATGGCTATACTAATTCCTCAAAAAACTGTTTCATACATATGGAAATAGTACCAGAGACAAGTTTCATTAGCTAAAAAATACATAGCTGCTGTAATCATTCATGTGCATATTGAGAAGAACCCTGTTCAAATAATATATCCAGCCCTATTACGTAATCTGAATCTTTCAAATATTATAAATGTCACACTCCACTATTCAAAAAGTGCCTAAATGGAGTCCTTTATACGCCAAAACTTTGTAAACCCTAATTTGTCTTCAGTCCATTGAATTGTGGCTGGATCTCTAAATAAAACAAAGATAAAATCTCACTAATTCATTAATTATTACCACATAAGCTTGCTCAGTTTCATATATGATAGAATAAATGTCTGAATTGCTCTAATATATTTCCTCCATATCTTGTATGAATCTAATTTTGATAGCCACAAAATTGCTTTCTTGATACTCAGAATTCCTGCACTTTGCATCCCAAATTCCAATGTAACCTCTTTTCATATATCTTCCCTATTTTTTTTAAATTAAATGATACTACTTAGAGTTTGTATTAAGACACTTTTTCTGCTTCATTCTCCTTCCTGCTTACTTAGCCATTTGGACTTGGGAGGGGAATTGAAAGCCTTTTAGGATGCCTCTGAACTACAACCCCCAGTATCTATGTCATTGGTCATTCTACTAAGACTGTTGAGAGGTGAAAGACCATAAGTTTGCTGTCCCTGCCCTAGGCAGGCTGCCCAGGGCTTGTCTCACTGCACTATAATATCCTTACATATAATATTCACGGTATTTTTCTTTCCATGTCCTTCCATTCAGGTATTAATAAATGGTTGCATACTTGTCTGCAGTATAGCAAGCTAATCCTTTTTCTGGAGAATATTTTCAGTCAATGTTTCCTTTTCTAGACTCTGAGACTAGCTTGCTTGCTTAATATAATTTCACATTTTTCTCAAATATGTTATGCAAAATACATAGAGCATCCTATCTCTTCAACAAAGTACATGGAAATACAGCAATTCACTAACATGTTATTCTGATAAAGCAAAAGAAATGAGCATAACAATATTTTCAATATGTCAGTAGTAAACTCAATGTAGTGACTGACACACTGACTTTAGTTAGGAGATGATAGATGATGACGAAGATAGATAGCTAGCTAGATAGATGATAGATAGATACAGTCAGATTTAGAAATATTGGGACATCGACACAATTCTAACATCTTTGGCTCTATACACCACCACAATGGAGTTGGAATGAAACAAACACAATGTGCTTTAACTGCAGACTGTCAGCTTTAATTTGAGGATATGTATATCCAACTCTGGTAAACGGTGTAGGACTTACAGCAGTTTGCATATGTGCCTCCCACTTGTTAAGGGACCAAAGGTAATGGGACAGAATGATAATCATAAATCAAACTTTCCCTTCTTAATACTTGGTTGCAAATCCTTTGCAGTCAATCACAGCCTGAAGTCTGGAATGCATAGATATCACCAAACGCTGGGTTTCATCCCTGGTAATACTCTCCAGGCCTCTACTGCAACTGTCTTCAGTTTCTGCTTGTTCTTGGGGCATTTTCCCTTCAGTTTTGTCTTCAGCAAGTGAAATGCATGCTCAATGGGATTCAGGTCAGGTGATTGACTTGGCCATTGCATAACATTTCACTTCTGTCCCTTCAAAAACTCTTTGGTTGCTTTTGCAGTATGCTTTGGGTCAGTGTCCATCTGCACTGTGAAGCGCCATCCAATGAGTTCTGCAGCATTTGGCTGAATGTGAGCAGATAATATTGCCCGAAACACTTCAGAATTCATCCTGCTGCTTTTGTCAGCAGTCACATCATCAATAAATACAAGAGAACCAGTTCCATTGGTAGCCATACATGCCCACGCCATGACACTACCACCACCATGCTTCACTGATGAGGTGGTATGCTTAGGATCATGAGCAGTTCCTTTCCTTCTCCATCCTCTTCTCTTCCCATCACTCTGGTACAAGTTGATCTTGGTCTCATCTGTCTATAGGATCGTGTTCCAGAACTGTGAAGGCTTTGTTAGATGTTGTTTGGCAAACTAATCTGGCCTTCCTGTTTTTGAGGCTCACCAATGGTTTACATCTTGTGGTGAACCCTCTGTATTCACTCTGGTGAAGTCTTCTCTTGATTCTTGACTTTGACACACATACACCTACCTCCTGGAGAGTGTTCTTGATCTGGCCAACTGTTGTGAAGGGTGTTTTCTTCACCAGGGAAAGAATTCTTCGGTCATCCACCACAGTTGTTTTCCGTGGTCTCCCAGGTCTTTTGGTGTTGCTGAGCTCACCAGTGCGTTCCTTCTTTTTGAGAATATTCCAAACAGTTGTTTTGGCCACGCCTAATGTTCTTGCTATCTCTCTGATGGGTTTGTTTTGTTTCTTCAGCCTAATGAGGGCTTGCTTCACTGATAGTGACAGCTGTTTGGATCTCATCTTGAGAGTTGACAGCAACAGATTCCAAATGCAAATAGCACACTTGAAATGAACTCTGGGCCTTTTATCTGCACATTGTAATTGGGGTAAATAGGGAATATCACACACCTGGCCATGGAACGGCTGAGAAGCCAATTGTCCCATTACCTTTGGTCCCTTAACAAGTGGGAGGCACATATGCAAACTGCTGTAAGTCCTACACCGTTCACCTGAGTTGGATGTACATACCCTCAAATTAAAGCTGACAGTCTGCAGTTAAAGCACATTTTGTTTGTTTCATTCCAACTCCATTGTGGTGGTGTATAGAGCCAAAGATGTTAGAATTGTGTCGATGTCCCAATATTTCTGGACCTGACTGTAGATAGATAGATAGATAGATAGATAGATAGATAGATAGATAGATAGATAGATAGAATACAATAGATAGAATACAATAGATGATAGATAGATAGATAGATAGATAGATAGATAGATAGATAGATAGATAGATAGATAGATAGAATTTGATATGAACTAATAAATTATTCTCAGAACCTTCTGATTCTCAATTCTAATGTTTTTCAGATACAAAGATTATAGAGAACCTCCATGGTCTGAAAATAAATATGACATTGCAAAAGATTTTTGGGCTGTGCTTGCAGCAAGATTAGCATTCGTAATAGTGTTTCAGGTAAAGTACAATCAAAATTTGTATTTTTTTCTAGAAATTAAACCATAATAAAATGAATACATTGTGGTTTTAGGAGAGTATGATATCTAACATTATTTGAAAAATACCATTACTATTTATACTACCAATACTATTTATCTAGTAGGTATCAACAACTTTTTCAAATTCCAGTTACTTTTACACAAAAAACATTTACAGTAAAATAAAAATGATACTGTACATTTTACAAAAACACAGCACTTGTACTGTGATTTATACTGTGGCAGAAATTGTTGCATTGCACACAGAGACTCTCAAATGAGTATACCAGAATACCATCAGCTCAGTGAAGACTGCCCATATGAAGAAACAGCTCTTCCCTTTTGTTGTCTCTTGTAACAGTATGTAAGAATGCTCTTGAATGATGAAGGGAAGAGATGCTTCCTAGGGAATGATCAAAGGGAGAGAGCCTGCCCCTGAATAATGGGCAGAGGAAGAAATATAAAAAGGATCCACCCTGATTTATCAGGTGGTAAAAAGAGATGGCGGGAAATTTATACTTTCAGAGTTGCAAGATTCTGTGAATGTAGCTTTACGATAAAGTAGCATTGCCGTGCTTCTTGTCTAGTCTACTTGAGAGGCTGACAGCTCTGGAAAGAAAACAAAGGTACCATTGGTGCTCAACCTCTGTTAGTTGTTGTTGTCAGCTTTGGAAGCCATATGTCACAAGGGTCACCTAAATTAAGTAGCTTTTCCTCTTGTCTGGACCAACAGAAGGTTTACATTTGTCCTCATTGTCACTGGTTGTGTGGCTGGGCAACAAGGTGGAGCCAGCACTAGCACAGTTGAGAGCACCATGGGTAATAACAAAGGCAATCTGAGGATGCTCATTATGGCATCACTTATTGTTCAAAACAGGCCATCTTTCTTCCATCAATATAGTATCTGTTCGATGACTACCACAACCAGTACTTCTCACTTCCTGCTTACAACAGGGTGTTCGTCACTGCAGTGCCACCATTATCCCCAGGGTTCACTCTTTTCTGAATGGCATGTGTCCTTGTGTAATTTAAGCTTAGTTATGTTTCAACTCTTTCAGTGCTTTTTTTTTTCTTTACAAAAGGGATCATATTATGAAATGTTGCCTGTCTTCACTCTTAACTTTATATACCTTTTCTGCCAGCTCAACCAATCCTGTTAGCCTTGTCCTACTAAGTGATGTTGCTGATAAATAAAACAAAATTATAGTAAAACTGTTGAAAAACAACTAAAACCACAGAAGACAATGTTAGTATTCATTGGCCTAAGTGAGATAAGCAGAAACAAATTGCGCAAGTTCGAAGTATTTTACTTTTATTCAATCTGGGGGTTAGACTTGCCCACCTGTGTCATCACTTAATTCAGTTTGATTTCTTTTTCTTGTTTTTAAATTTTCTCCTATTAGTTTTGGAGGCAAGAGAAATGTTTATCTTAGCTCCCTGCCTGATTTATATTTGTGCTATTGGAGAATCATTTCCAGAATCCTGCAGAATTTGCAATCCCCTCTTAGGATGTTTCCTCTGGTACCTAATTTCTGATGGTAAATAAGAATTGGCTTTGGAGGAAGATATTTTAAAATCAGATGTTTCCCATTTTAAAGAAAGCTCCTTCCCCTTCTCTCTTGTTGGGGTGCATCTAATATAGCTGGAATGTCCTCTCAAGGATTGCATTTCAGGGGTGTATTCCTAGATATAGAGAACGTTATGAATATCCCTAGATATAGAGAATGTTATGGGATTTATTTTCGAGTAGACTTTTAGAGTTGCATTCAAGAAGACCCTCTGTGATACTTTTTTTTTAATCTTTGAGTCTTCTTACACAAAAGTATTTTTTGTCTACACTTATATCAGCTCTCAGATAAAAATACATAGTTGACTGGTGTAATTTTCACAAGTTATAGAATAACTTTAGTAATATTTCACATTAAAAAGTTGTTTACAGAAAAGCAGAGTTACATCAATTAATTTTAAAGTTGACATCGGGGAATTCCATTCACTGCTGCTTTGTCAGGGCCCTTCAGATAGGTAACTATGAACATTATGAAGATATATTACAGTATATATTAATTTCATGAAGCAGTGTATAGTTAGTGCTCATTATCATTTAGTTCTAATCTTGGGATCAGTTTAACTACTGTGAAACACATGTACATTTATATATATATTCATTACACTGTCCCATTTCAGGGTAAACTGTTATACAGAGTTATACGGAGTATAGAAGAAGATGTAAAAATAGCAGGCATGAAATAAGAAAAAGGAAAGGAAATATATTTGAAATAAACCATTCACTTAGTAATAGTTATGACAGACACTGAAAAAGCATCTTACAAGATCCAACCTGGATCAGTGGTTTGCCACTGGTTCACTGCCCGCGCAGGCATGGTGCATGCCAAATGCCCGCTGCCCGCGCAAGCATAGTGTGCACCAAACACATGCTGCGCATACGTGCATGCACAGTACACACCAATTGTGTGCTTCGCGTGGAACAAGAAAGCTTGGGAAGATAAGTAGAACAGTGAGGGGTGGAACAGCTGTGCCAAGTGATTTAGATTCACTAGAAAACAAGATTTCCTGCTTTCTAGCTATTTTAAATCGCGCGGTACAGCTGATCGTCAGAAATACCGGTTCGTCCGAACTGATAGCATTTCACCATTGATCTGGATCAGTCACCAGGATCAGAGGTTTTGTCTTTTGAGTTTTTGGATTTGTGCTGGAGCTCATCTTCAGCAGTTCCCTGAAGATGAACTCCAGCACGAGTCCAAAAACTCGAAAGAAAAAACCTCTGGTCCTGGTGACCGATCCAGAATAATTCAGGATCCAGAATAGATCCTGCAGCATTATCCTGGAACACATATATTTGCCTTAATTCATAAGCCACTTACAACCCATTCAGTATTCTGATATCTGTGCCCCCCCTGCTCCCCGTGGTTATGTGATCACATTTTAGGGGCTCAGAAACAAACACACATTTATGGCCATTTGCAGCATCACAAGCTCACGTGACTATGATTTACATTTTTCCCAGGAACCAGTGTTTACTTCTAATTTCCAGCAAAAAAACCCAAAACCTCATAGTAAACAATGGCTTCATTTAACAACCATGGAATTCACTTATGACCACTGCATTCATTTCACAACCACATTTGCTTAATAACTGCTGCAAAAGAAGGATGCAAAATTGGACATGGTTGTGTGATAAGCAAGTTTATAACTGTCGCCACTTATGACCAAAATTTCTGGTTCAGTTATGGTCATAAATCGAGGACTGCTGCACATGATCTCTGGAATTAAGCAGTCTATGCATTGTACTGACGCATTCTTAGGAATCACAAATATATGTGAATTCTTAATAAGCTATTGATATAGTTATTTTTTTAAAAAAAAAATTAGTCAGGCCATAATTTTGACTTGGTTAACCTTTTCTCTTTTGTTTTTATTTTTCAGAATTTGGTTATGTTTATGAGTGACTTTGTTGACTGGATTATTCCAGACATTCCCAAGGACATTAGTCAGCAGATTCACAAGGAGAAAGTTCTCATGGTGGAAGTCTTCATGAAAGAAGAGCAAGGAAAGCTGCAGCTGCTAGAAAACTGGAGGGACAAGGATCAAAGGAGAGGTGAAAACTGTAACAGTCACAGTCCCAGGTCATCAATGAGCCATAGAGGGAGTGTGTCTTCCTGTCACTCATGCCATGTTGAGGTATAGAAGAAGACAATGTTTTACACTGGGGCATTCCATTCATAAAGCAGCCAATATTTACATGATAGATTTCATACTTTAACAACCTGGTGCATGTTTAAGCATATGCAACTGTTTCGCTTATATCTATGTGAGAAATAATGTTCTTAAGAACAGGGAGGACCATATTCTATTTCTGACAAGTTTTCTTTTTTTAATTTTCTTTCCTTTTTTGCACAAAAATAATGCAGGGATTTTTATATATATATATATATATAAATAGATAGGTAACTTGCATAGTTAGCTTAGAGCTATCACAGTTTTATTTTTTAAAAGGAGATAAGATTCTGTAGACTCTTCTCTGAGAATTTTATATTAGCGTATTTATTAAAATAGGATAAAATGTATGAACCAAACTACAAGTATTGGAATAATAAAAAGGCCCCCATTCCCGATAAACTACATATGGGTTTTTGCAATCTGCAAATAATAATAACACTATACTGTGGAGTGCTTTTTGCAAGGCTGTGGCAACAAAGCTCTGACTTGAATCTGCCAACTTTTTTACAAGCAAAAATCCTGTTGAGTTTCCTTGATGATATGTTGAATACCCTGCATTTTCTCCTAAGTGAATGCAGCAGCAAGAGTATTTTGTTTTCCATTTGACATTCTTGCCTCAATTCATCACTTCCATCCTCATTTCATTTACTCTAGTGAATAGAATGGTCAGACTCAAATCACTGTAATCTTAGTCTCAACACTAATGAGAGCAAATCACTTTACCATCTTTCATATCTTCTTCTATGAAAGATGAACAATTTGTGGAAGGGCATTTAGTTTAGTAATTCAAAGTGTCTAGTGTACATTCCAGAGGGGGATTCCAGAGAACAAGAAGAATATTAGCATCAGCACAATTTCCCCAAACACTGAAGGACCTTTGAAGAAAAAGTATCCTGAGTTAAGAGCACATACACACACACACACACAAATACTAGCAAATTGCAGCCCACCACAAACCTGGAATCTTAGTTGCTGAAGGAACACATTAAATATATGTATTCTCAATTATGGTTCTATGTCACCTCTGCTCAGTAAAGCCAACATACTACATTTAGGGAGATTACATCTTTCTAAAACAATTAATGTGATTCCATCATTTCACTGGCCATAGGGCTATTGTAGCTCATAATCTCTTATATATTAAGTAATTTGGCTGAGCTGCTCATTTCTAAATATTATTCTTTTTCATATTTACAACTTCTCTGCCTTTTGCAAATTTGATTCATTTATCTTGCTCTCTTTCACATTGAAATGGTCAAAGAGTTTATTTGAGCATCCTTCCAGTGAAATGCAGGCCTTTCTTTCTTTCTTAGTAGGTATCATATTATAGAGGTTATAAGATATGAGTATCATGGAGCCAGTACAGACATGTGCAATTTTGTCCTCTCATAATGCTAGTCATTTTATGAAAATTGATCAGGAGCAAATTCAGAACAGAAAAAAATAAATGTGGTGCCACACAATCTACGATTACCAAATTATGTCTTTTAAAAGAGATTATTCCATCTACTGAGAATAGATTAATAAATGAATAGTAAAATAGTTGGTGCAATTGTTCAGAGGCAGTACAGGAAATTAATGTAGCAGATAAGCAACAATGTCAAGTTATTACTTTTATGCATTGCTAGTAAATTGCATGGAAATATCTTGAAGGTGCTAGTGATCCACTAGTGATAATGTTAAATTATGATAACAGTCAGATAAGTGGCATTTTATTCTTGTTTCTTTTTAGGTTTTTTTTTTTAAATTCAGATAAGATTAAAAATGAGGAAGTGAAAAGGGTTAGCAGAATTAAGAAGCATTTCAGTTTGCTTCAAAGGAAGGTTCTCCTGTGCCCATCACTAGTTGCTGGACATCCAAATATGAAAATGAAAAAGTGAATAGTATGGACTTCCAACGAAGCCTAGCTTTATTTTTCCTCTTCAAATAGCTAAATATTTTAATTCAATTCAATTGAATTGAATTAAAATTGTTTTGGAAGGATAATGGAGGAGCAATTTATAATCTTTCCAATCTTAAAAAAAGCAGTAGAACAATTCAAGGAGACCAAGATAGAAATGAATGTTACAGAAAACCAGCAAGCCAAAGTGGTGAACAGAGAAAACAAATACATTACAGATTTTGATATACCAAAGTTTTTCCTGGAAAGTCATGGAACCTATGAACAGCAATCAAATGACTGTGTGTCAGTGAATCCTTGCCACAACAGCATATTGTAATGCAATTCTGAGCATATCAAAGTCTAGCCAAAACAAGAATAAATCCTGGTAAAGATAGCCCTTCAAGCCAATTTTCACTTTAAATGTTGCCTTTATATCAGCAAACCAAGGTAGAAAAAGGAATCCACAGGGCCTTGACTGTTGATATGGATGGCAAATATGAACCAATCTGTATGTGACATGGCTCTCATCAGGTCTGATGGTCATGTTTGTATGTTTCATAGTTTGTCCTTGTCTCTTTAAAATAGTTCCAACTGGGAAGTTGTATGACTTTCATTATGTATAAAAATATATATGCTTTTTGTATTCAGAATTTTTCAGATATGTTATGTTGTTGAAAAGGTTGATAAGATGCAGGTGTATCATGGACAGATATATATAAAGATGTTCAACCTTCATTGTCTTCCTAAGAAAAATCAGCATGCAGTATTTGCTTCTTCATTCAGGCTGTAAGTCCAGCAGTATCTATTAGACTCTTGACAGGAATCATCTGATTTGAGAAATGAAGGAATAGGGAAAATCAATTAGTTGTCACTACGCAATCTTCACATACTCTAGTTCTGCCAAACGTTTGAAAACAAACAGCACTGTTGACAGGGTCTAGGCAGCCAAGGAACATGACAACCTTCCTTCCAAGGTAATCCAAGAGGCAGATCTGGATTATAAACCAAAACCTGGAAGACCATTCAGTTACAGCTAGTATATCAATCCCTTTGCGTAGGATAAAAAACAGAGGATCCTTGGAGTCACACTCAATGTCTAGTGACGGCTTTGACACTATGCGGCTTTCTTGCAGCACTACTGAAGTGGATTGCCATTGCCATCTTCTGGGATGATTTTTGGATTTGGGCGTTTTCAACATTCAAGTCTAGGTTGTAGGCCTAGTATTTGTGGATGCTCTCCCATCAAAGTCCAGGTACCATGGCCAGGTTCTTAGGAGTAATTAACTGCTGAAAACATATGGTTAAAAGAGATATAAGCCAATGAAGGTTTGCGAAATCAAAATCAGAATTATAGATACCAGTGCAGTGTGTATGTTCCTTGACAGTCCATCTGTTCAGTCTTACCTATTTATTTTCCCAAAAATAAAACCTGTGCAAGAGTCTCTCACTTTAGCCATGAAGATTTCATGAATGCATGATTTTAAGTAACAGTTTGCCGCAATATAAGGACGTCATAAAATATAACAAATTAGTCATGTAGTATAGATGACTAATCTAATTTGGGGGTACAGGTAGTCCTCGACTTACGACCACAATTGAGCCCAAAAATTATGTTGCTAAGCGAGATTTGTTAAGTGAGTTTTGTACGATTTTATGACTTTTCTTGACACAGTTGTTAAGTGAATCATTGTGGTTGTTAAGTTAGTCACACGGTTGTTAAGTGTGAAAAACGGTCATAAGTCACTGTTTTCAGTGTTGTAACTTTGAACGGTCACCAAGTGAACTGTTGTAAGTCGAGGACTATCTGTATATTGCAAGTAAGCCTACTGTGTGATTTATTCAAAAAGCAAATGCCCAAGACTGTTATATTTCAGTTTTAAAAGTTTGTTGCAAATTTATTTAAAGTAAAATCCCCATTTTATAATATTTATTAGTTTTAATATAAATTATGAATGAATTCAGTTCTTTTTAAATATAATTTATCCAAGATGCTCTGTGTAAGTGAAAATGTATTATGTTAATGAAATTTTGTCCAAACATAATACTCTTGCCAAAGATTATTCTGAATAAAGGGCTTATCTTTTGTTTATAACTGCTTCTTGTAAACTGCATTGCAGGAATGTCACTTATTTTAAAATCATTAGTCTTTTATTATAAATGTAATCAGCCTAATCTACCTTTCTTGACATAGAATCCATGAAAGAAAATATTTGACATAATCCAATAAATGTGTTTTAGCTGTGCTAAGAGCCTTATACAAAGTAAAACAATTTGTTTATATACTGACCTGTATGCATGAATTTGGATTTAAATATGCAAGCATTCAATGAATTTCAAATGCCAAAGATACTGGATATTGTGGATGAAAGTTCACACTTCTTTTTGTTACTTGATGCAGATGGAGGTTTGTTTCCTCTTGCAATAGTCAAAAAATGTTTTGTGTTAGACGTGATGCCATACACTAGGATTTAAAGCTTAATCTGTTCCAGGCTTCAGTAAGTTTATATATTTTCTAATGTAAATAAACATTTGTGCATACAGATATAGATACACAAACTATAGTTTCTGTCACTGCATTTTGAGCTCCTGTTCAATCTCCCCTACTACCAAACATACCTACAGACTCACTAATCACAAACTCAAGATAAGTTTATTTTCAACAAAAGCCAAACTTGCAAAACACCAATTATATAATTCTTGGTTTAATTATGAATTCAGTTACCCAACTTTTTTGAAGCAATGTATAAAAAAGTACTACTGAGAATTATTTATTACAATAATAAAACCTCCCAAAAAAAATCTGAGCAGAGCAGACTACTGCATTATAGTAGCACTTAGAATTCGGAAGGGAAAAGGTTCTTGAGAGCCTGCAAATCATGCACGTAGCATTTATCCACAAAATCCACTGCTCCAATAAATTTTGAATTGCATTGCAATGGTAGAGGACAATTACACAAGCCAGGAAAAGTCATAGCTGCTTTAAGAAGTTACAGATGTGGGTACATAAGCATTCAAACTTTTTTCTCCTTCATATCTGAAGCACTGTTGCAGCTCTACTAATGTATGTTTTTGAAGAGAAAAGATGAAAAACAGAACTCACTCTTGATTAGGAATTTTGTCGCCAATTCTGTTTGTAAATACAGCTTTATGCAACATTAGAGCACCTGAGAACATTCAGTATTAAGACAGGAGCTGGTTTCATTTCTCTTCATTAGCCAAAACAAAACAAAAAAACAATGAGGAGAGCAAGTTACAATTGTAAACAGATTGTGGTTGTAAATGGGCATGACTATAAAGGAATAAAAAAAAAAATAGTAAGGTAGGATGTAATTACTTCTTTTCACAACTATCAGTTAATCCTTCTCTGGTTTTTCTATTACTATTAGTCTTCCTAGCTAATATATATTCAGGTATAATTTATACTGAACTATTATATCTCAATTAGTTTCACTAGAAATTAGGAATAATGTACTGTACAAAAAAATGTTAGGTTCATTTCATAGGTGATGAACATGAAGTTGACATGAATAGCCCGAATTAGTCAGGGGGACGATGTGAAACTAAAAGAAACGTAAAACATTATCTTAAAATGTTGGCATAATACTGACATTCCGATAAAAATAAGAACTATATACTTAGAAATGTTCAATTTTTTTGAGATCATTAAAAATAATAACTGCTTATGACTCTTTTATAGTTTCTTTTGTACTGCATTTTCTGAAAAAGGGTTTTGTATATAATGTTGTATCTAGAAAATTATATAATGTTCCTTTTCATGGATTCTTTTTTTAAAAAAAAAAGTAAATGCATACTAAAGCGCTCTAGTTTTTTGTTGAATATTTATTTCTATAACTAATATTCATTTAAACTTTCTCACAAAATGCCATTCTGCATTCATTTGAAGAGGAGAGAACAGTGTGGAAGTTAAGATATGTAATATGTCAATTGAAAAGGTTTTATGTTTCAGTATTTCAATAAGTGTTGAGAACATTGTTACTTTTTAGAAATTCAGAAGAGTAAATCTCTGGTCTTGGTGACCAACTGAAATTTGATTTCGCATTATTATCCTGGGACACATATATTCATTGTTACTTCTTTCCATCTGGAAGATCATCTTACATACAATGATTTTCAAAATTGAGGTTTGGGGTGCTTCCAGATAAGGCTTTCCTTGTCTGATCTTTGCCCAGAATTGTATGGGTGGTCCAGGCAATATTTTCCATATATAATTATTCCATATTTCCTCATTTCTTCCATCTAATTTCTTTTCATAAAAACAATTCAGATTGGAAGTACTAAGAATCGTTAATGGTGAGGAACACTTGTCAGTGGTAAAGCATTGTTATGAATAGAAGAGAATGAGACATTATCTAATCAGTAAACATAATAGAGTTTTATGCAGTAGAAATGTTAGGTGCCAAATCCCATAATTATTATTATCAAATTTATTTGCCACCTATCTCACCATGAGCTACCACCATAAAAAGACAAAGAAATAAAGAGGAAGTTTAAGCAACTGAAAAATAAACTGAACAATAATTAAAATAATAGAACAAGGAAACAAACAAGGAAAAAGAAAACAAAGAAAATACATAGATATGACTGATAAAAAAAAGAAGGGCGTGTGGGGAACAGAGAGGAGGAGTCTGCTGTCAATCTAGCAGCCATTTCCAAAGTTGAATTCCCCCATTGGATCCCCCAGGCCAATTTGCAGAGCCAAGTCTTTAGACTCTTATAAAAAAAATAGGAGATTGGGGGCAGATCTCACTCTGGAGGGCTGGATGTTCTAAAGGATGAGTGCTGCAACAGAGAAGGCAAGTAATCTGGCAAGATAGAAATGGGCCAATATATCTGGAGAGTCACATGCTGATAAATGTAACTACCTGTACCAGCACCTTGCTTAAAATGCTATTGCTATAACCATGATAGTTATAACAGTAGCTGTATGAACATGGCAATATATACAAGAGTTCCTGGTGTTTTCCTACAAACATTATCACAATACAAGCATCAAACACACACACATAACAGAAAGGCAGGATTCAGGCTCTTTCATATAATGCCATGATTTCACAGAGCGATGAATCCAACCAATATGTCATCTTTTGGGTTCATACCCATTCAGACTTTACTGCTGTGTTTAGCCTTATTTTATAAATTTGCAAAACGGACGGAAAATCTTCCTCCAGAGAGCTTGCAGCTCCTAACCTCATGATGTTCCAAAAGTATTTGAAAACCTGGCTTTACTCCCAGCCCTGGGTGTAAGGTAGCTTTTGAATCCCTGTCAATTTTTTCCTGGCATATTCTGTTCGTTGCTTTCAGACGTTCATGATCTTTTCCTCTTGTTTTATTGCTCTTAGTTTTAAAAGTGTAAGCTGCCCAACAGCAGCAGCAGGAAAATAAACTGAAATCAACTCCATTTAACGCGCAGTGGTCCCAAAAGAAGATCATACTATCAAGCCACCATCTGCTAGGACATAGACAAGAATGTTATCATCTCTATTAGAGTATCAAGTGTAGCAAATCCTCTACTCCATACAGAGAGATATTGGAGCCAGTTAACGCTGCAAATAGCTCTTCACCCTACCTAGAAACATAAGGGATCAAATCTACAGCTTTCTATCATGTTTCCCCGAAAATAAGACCCAACCAGAAAATAAGCCCTATCATGATTTTTCAGGATGCTTGTAATATAAGCCCTACCCCAAAAATAAGCCCCAGTTAAGATTGTCAGCCAGACAGGCACATTTTAGTACTATATTTCCCCCAGAATAAGCCCTAATTGGAAAATAAGCTCTAATGCGTCTTTTGAAGCAAAAATTAATATAAGACCTGGTCTTATTTTCAGGGAAACACGGTACATTCAGAACATATGATCTACTTTGTTCTATAGCTGTTTTAGAAAGGATTAGAAAAACAGGAAATTGTCTTATACAAAATTTTGCCACCGAGTAGCCAAGCTTCTTGCAAAAACCTCCTTGCAAAAGCAAACAAACTGGTTTGAACTGAGATGAGAATGGAATTTATTAAATGGGAAAGATGAGGGTTATTGGTTTTTGATAAAGCAATTTTTAAACAGGATTGAAAATAGAATATGGATGAAAAAAATCTTGCTGAAACATTTAACATCTATTTTCTACTCGTTGTTTATATGTACACACACAAGCATAAGATGTAACAATTTGTTCTGACCTAGGCTTCTTGATACAGTAAAAGTATACAATGAGTCCCAAAAACCCTCTTTTTATTTCAGTGGCTGTGAATTCTATTCATTCACAGCCTATTCATTCTCAATCTGTTCATTCAAGAGCCTTGGTAGTACAGAGGTTTAAGGCACCCTATTATTAAGCTGGTTATTAAGACCAGCTGCCTGCAATTACTGCAGGGTTCAAATCTCGCCAAGGCTCAAGGTTGACTCAGCCTTCCATCCTTTCTAAGGTAGGTAAATTGAGGACCCAGTTGTGGGGGCAATAAGCTGACTTTGTATAAATATACAAAAGGATGAAGGCTATTGCTGAGCACATTGTAAGCCGCCCTGAGTCTTCGGAGAAGGGCGGCATATAAATCAAATTTAAAAAAAAAATTCACAGATGAGTCCCAAATAGTTGTAAAGAGTCCGACAGAAGTCTGCCACAGTCCTTCGGGATAAGGCTGATAAGTACCCCCTTTATCTCCCTTGACACGCTGCCAAGACCTAATTGGCAATTAACTTTGCAAGGCCACATGGAACACAGAGTCAAAATGGAGCTGCAGAAGTGAAACTGGCCAGCATGAACAACATTGCTTCCTGCTAAGGCCCATGTGCCTTTGCTCCTCCTTTATGTGTTATGGGAGGGCCAATCATCTCCAAGCCCGTCCCTTTTGTTTTAACTGTTCTTGCCTTCTGGCAGCTCTGCACATGCGTGCACTGGGAACAGGCTCCCCCTGTTCCTCTGCCTCGCTGATATCGGACTCTGGAGGCTCCGGAGTCCACACATAACTCCCAGATGGCCCTGGCCCCAGCGCTGCCTCTGACGCAGAGCCCTGGTCCGAGCCTTCCCCAGACTCCAGGACTGGCCCATGTTCCTCCCCAGCCTCCTCACTGTCCGACTCTGCTGCCAGCTCCGCAGGCCAGTGGCGGACCACAACACAATTCAAATCTCAGATCTGGAAAAATATAACACTAGATATGCATAAACAAAAAATGTTTACATATACAGTACAAGTAATGGATTCCTTATAGTCCAATAAAAAGATTGTGCAAGATTTGAGTGGCTTCAAATTTTAAACTGTAACATCATGCCACTTGCTTAGCATGGAATACAAAGGGGACTGTATCTCCTTAGCTCTTGGCCACCTCTACGGAAGGGGAGAACCTCCAGGCAGTCTGCACAAAATATCTCTAGATTGGTTCAAATCAAAATAAACAATTTATAACTGATCATGCAATAATAATAGCAATAGCACTTAGACTTATATACCGCTTCATAGTGCTTTTACAGCCCTCTCTAAGCAGTTTATAGAGTCAGCATATTGCCCCCAACAATCTGGGCCCTCATTTTACCCACCTTGGAAGGATGGAAGGCTGAGTTAACCTTGAAAACTAGTGAGATTTGATCTGCCAAACTGCTGGCAGACGATGATCAGCAGAAGTAGCCTGCAGTACTGCACTCTAACCACTGTGCCACCATGGCATGTAATTTATTTATTTATTTATTATTAAAATTTATATGCCGCCCTTCTCCCAAAGGACTCGGGGCGTCTCACATAAATAAAAAACAATAACAATAAAATCTAAAACCAATCCAAAATTAAAATCCCCAAATTTAAAACCTCGTAGAATGATCAGGGAGTTTGCTGGAACAGCCATGTCTTCAGGCCAGCGCGGAAAGTGCGGAGATTGGGAGCCGTCCGGAACTCGGTGGGTAACCCATTCCAAAGGGTTACATGCCTGGGATAAATAAGGAAAATAAATATGTCCAGCATTTCTCTCCCCCCCCCCGCCACTTGCTTTATTATTAAAGGTTTATTTTATGCAGAGGAAAACATAAAGACATTTGCTCAGTGAAAAGATAATAAATTGATTATATTGCAAAATTTATTATTAATATAAAAAGATAAAATATTTCAGGCTCCTACTTTATAATGATTTAATCTATGTGACTAGTTTCAATATTTTCAAATAAGTTCAGAATTAAAAGAATTGGAGAAATAAGGGGGGGGGGACTTAACAGATGTGACTTGAGTTTAAAATCATATATGTAGCTCAAGCATCTTCTGGGTCTTATTTAGAAATTGCTGAAGAAGTATGATCCAGAAACTGGACAAGTCAAAGATCATATGATTATTGGATGCAGAATTTAGATGCAGTAATAGTCATGCAACAATGGGAATTTCAGTAGAAGAATATTAAATTCACACTGAATATTATACTTAAAGAGAAAATTGTGTGATTTGATACAGCCAAAATATACAGTTTTAGCAAGGACATGGTTGCACTTATCTGCAGCAAGAAAACTTCTCAAATTGCATAACAAGGAAATACTGTTGCTACACTAACTTCATGGCTGACCCTGGATTGGGGTGCTGGCTGGAATGGATGGGATTTGAAGCCCAAAGCATCTGGATGAAGAGCATCAGGTTGCCTACTCTGAATTAACCTACCTCTTTTTAAGCTGAGCAGCAGTGGTGAAATCCAGCTGGATCTATCCGGCTCGCGCAATCCGGTAGGGTCGGTGGCGGGAGGCTCTGCCCACTCGCCCGGACGTCATCACATCCCTTTTCTTTTTACCCTTTGCACATGCCCAGAAGGCTCTGTGCATGTGTGGAGGAGGCACATGCGCTC